CGTTCCAGCTCGTGTCGGAATCGAGGAAAATCGATTCGGGCAATTAAAGCCCGACAAATTATTCCGCTTTCATCCCGTCTTCTTGTTCTCACGACGGAAGTTTTCTCTAGAATGCCGGGTTCGTTCACGCCGAAATCATTCGAACGGAACGTAAATAATTTAAAATCGAAAAGTGACCAATGGCAATATTTTTGCGAGTCCTCGTCTCTCGGAAAGACGAGCCGAAATGGACCGAGCTCCGGTACGCTATTACGATGATTGCCCGCCAAGTACCGGCAGTGCGAACCTTGCTTTTGAAATCGAATCGAAAGCGTTGAAAGACCTCCTCGTGGTAACGATCGAGCGATCGCGATTCGTGACATCGAGAGCGAATCGCTGGTCGACGAATAGCGGAACGTTAATTCGCGGACGGATTGACTCTTCAGGTATGTTAATTCGGATCGTTTGAAATGCGGCGCCATATTTTTACGCGTCGAGATTCGGGTCGCCATGTTCCGGGGTAATTTTGCGGAGAGGTGAAAAGTCTTTCATGAGACATTACCGAGCGAACGGGAAGTCTTTTATGCAATCGCACAAAAGCGGCGACGTTCTGTTTTGAATTTGTCGGAGGGGATTCGGTTTTCTCTTTCCTTTTGTACCTACCGAGGAATACCGCTTCAAAGCCCGGGAAGATATGCGTACTCTGCGTACTTTCTATTCTTCTTCTCTTGCCTGTGTACAGTTCTTACATGAATCACTCGAAAACTTGAAATAGCGTGAAATCGTGCTTCGTTAGATTTCGAGATACATTCGTTTTCGGACACGGATAACGGCTTCTGTTTTTTACAACGGAGACCGATTATGGGATTTCTAATCGAAACCCCGAACTTTGACGAATTTTAAGACGATTCCGAAAGCTGAGGTGACGTAACGACAGTTGGTATAATTTACCATCGTTTCCACCGCGAGAAAGTTCCATCGCAATCTCCTCAAAGACATTTCATGCCTTGAAGAGACTTGAAATGAAGTTCTACGGAGAACTTTATCATCCGATGCACCCTGAATAATTTCTGCGATGCCGGCAAACTACAGAATTTCCGTTTGCCCCCTGGTAAAGGTAAATTTCCCAGTTAGTTGGAAATCTGCAGGTTTAAGAACGTCAGTCCATCCGAAAAAAAATATTTAGTCGATTCGATATAATTATTGAGGTTTCGGCTTTGGAGTTTTGGATTTTTCGAATTTACGTCGAAACGTGATTTCCTAGCCGCGATAAAGTCGGCGGCCCAACTTCGCGTCTAGCTCGTAGATCCCGGTAGAAACTTTCTTCCCGGGAAAGACAGGTCTGGTTTTTACCCAAAGTAAGAGCAGCATCTCGTGCTCCAGTGGTACGGAGTCAATGTTAGCCGAGTGCAATTTACCCGGGCAGAAAAAGTACTTCTTTCAGCCCCCGGCCGCGAATATTCAATGGAGCTCTCTCATTCGGCGAGAGTGTTTCGTGAAAATTGTCCCCGAGCGACGAGACGTCGCTTACGTGAATTTTAATCCTAACGAAGTGTCGCGACTCCTGCAAAAAAAAATATAAAAAACACTCCCGACGCCTACTCAGAGAAATTATGAAATGTTTTTATTCAAAGTGACGCATGGACGCCCGGGAAAAATGATGGATCGCGCCGTAAAGTTGACATTAAATTTCTGCGAATTTTTCTGCCCATCTTGGCATGGACCACGAGACGGATTATCTTAATTTTCAACTTGACGCGAAACGTACCGCACATTCGTCCTCGGATCTTACAATGAATTTTTAGCGAATAAATAATTTTACAACGTAATTTCGCAGGAATTATTTACATTTCGATGATAAAAGGTGACGCCTCGCGATCGCGAAGTCAATGGCGGGTAATCATATTCGCGGCTTTTAAAATTAATGTTAATTCCTAATTGAAGTGGTTTAACGCGACTCCGAGGCACCTAATAAAATGCTTTACGACGCGAGGTTATGCGTTACGTACAATCAAGAGGATGCAAGCGTGGCCATTAAAAGTCCTCATTGGAAATTACGACATAAGAAGGGTGGCATGTCATGAACCACCAACGTGCGATAATCAATGCGACTAGTAAATCAACAAAAGTCATACGTTGAAGACAGTCTTCGCGTCACATATTTTATCCTTTTCGTATATTTTTATCCTTTCGGTTACGCGCCGAACAAATATAGACGACCGTAACGGTATTTGGGTAAAATTAAAAATATGGACATTGTCCCTGTCCCGTTAATAATACTTATTATCGGAAGGGGACCGTCATCGCGGTTTGTGCAGTTTTAAACTCCGCTTTACTGGGAATGTGCTTGACTTATGTAAAATAAAACCTCACAGAGGCAGCTTCGGTTGACAATATTTATTGACCGTTTGTTACGGATAGTTTCATAGTGGAGGGGCATAAACTGGTTACGATAGTCGTAAGGAATATCGAGATGAGCCGACCGATCGGCTAGTATTGTTTCATCGACGGTTTGAGTACGCCATTTGCAAACGACGGAGAATTATTTACGGCCTTGTGGCTGACGCGTCTATGCGATTATCATTCCCTTTGGTTGTCCAGTGGCGGCCGTCGTTCTTTCCGACAGAGATTTTCCACATAAAATCGTCAATTTACCGAACCGTCCGTTTCATCTTAATTCTGGCTGTCACGAATTGCCCAAACTGGTCCAAATAAGTCGCGGCTGAGGAAACGCGTTACTATCTCCCAAACGTGTATAAATAAATATTCATTGAATTTCAAGTATACGTGCAAACGGGGCGAGCGATATTCGCGCATTAGCCGGTTCCACGCGTCGTTGCATATGCAGAATTTTAGCGATAAATCAGACGTTATAAACAAGTTTCCCGTAGTTGTCAGGTGCAGCCTGAGGAAAGAGTGATTACGGTCATTACGATCATTAACTGTCCTGGCGATTTGCCGAGCCAGGATCGCTTTTTCTGGCCCGGCAATGATCTCTCGCGCTTTTTCCAAATCGTTCCACGGTGCGACTTTAAATCGCAATGAAAACGCCCGAGATCACGGGCCTTCTCGGTTTTGCAAATGGTTACTTATCGCATAATTATCGGGTAAAAGAAATTAATTGAATATCGGTTACTCGAGTCCTTCGATTTTCCAAGCACGTACCCTCTGAAATTTTCCGCGCCAAGGTTTCACTTCCCATAAAATATGCACTCGGGTAATTATTCCGGCTTTAACAAAGGTCAATTAACGGAACCCCGTCGATTTTTGTCATACAACTAACGGGAAAGCCGCGGAACTACTCCGGCCGTCATTCCTGCGTTGGAAGTTGCATAATTTCATTAAGTCTTGGGACACGCGATTCAGCCAACATAAGCGCGGCGCAACTATTTTACATTCACGGGCGAAATAACCATTTCGCTCGCTCGTTGGCCCGATGCACATAACTGCACCTGCACGGTCCCGCTACCGCATACTTTCCTCGTGTACGATATCGTTCGGGCATAACTAAGTACCGTACTGCCGCGTCGGGTAATTATGTCGTGGAGCAAAGTGTCGTAGCCAAATTGGTACGAGTCGGGTGAAGTCGGCGCACTCGAAACGCGTCGAATAATTATTTTGTAGAACAAACCGTTATGATCAAATCGGTACAAATCTATGAAGCAGGTGTACTCGGAACGCGTCGAGTCGTTGACAGAACGCAAATGAAAGCAGTGAAAGTTAATCTAACGAAATCACTGTAACTTCCCTTCCACGGCGGTCGGTGTCACATGCCAGGCAACGTGTACGTTTCCTGCTGTACTTTTCTATTTTAATACTCGGCTCTCGAAAACGTATTATGCCCTAAGTCGCGTAATAGCCCGACTCAATGGAGCAGCTCTGCGGTCCAGCTCGGGCGTTCGCCATCTTGAAAATCGTTCCCTCTCGGCGTCGCCTGCGCGGCAGGTGAATTATGTTATTCATGCTACAATGGTCCTGAGGCCCCTCACGCAGTGAAAGTTAATTTAACAAAATCACGATAGCCTGCCTTCTCTTTTTCTAACTCTTTCTCGGTCTCTCCCCGGTGGCACCGCGTTATATAAGCGAACGAAAAAAGACTCGATGCGAAGGCGCACCGGCGCGCGGACTTACGCAAGCCTTGGATGTGTGGAATTTCGCGACGAAGGAAAACCCTAGTAAATCCCTAGAAAATTGTCCAAAGAGCGAAAACGCCCCGGAAACGGGGCCGAATCAGGGAATGGCACTTGGAAATATGCGGCAACGCGAGATGGGAGGAATTTAATGCCCTCTAATACGAAGCATCCAGGTTGGGATTCGGAGACCATCCGCTGTGCCGGAGTATCGAGTCCAATCCGATAAATTCGGCGAAGCATAAAAAAGCGGCCGGGGAACTGCTGCGATCATGGCACCGAAAATGCCAATTTTCGAATTACGCAAGATCGCGTACGTGCACGAGCGACCTCGTTGTGTAATACGAAAAAGGCGACGGAGCGCATCGACCCGCAATTCGAGGAGACATCGGGGAAAATTCTGTCGAAATTAACGTTAGAGTTTAGACTGGTTGCGTATTCGAAATACGCGATAATTGGAGATTTTTTAACCAGGCGCATGTAGCACCGTGAACCACGAATTTTTTTTCTCTCTCTTTTTTTTTTTATCGTTCAGCGGCTCGTTTTAAATATTTTTGCAACGTGGAATATGCGGCGCGCCGAGCCCTGTACCGTTGATTCCGAAATCCCGCGAAGCACGTTCAATTACGGTCTTGCCGACTAACGATCCGAGAGATTCACGGGTAATAAATCCTGGACCTCGACTCGAATCCCCTCGTTGACGAGCGGAGAGACGGAGGCAAACTCGAAGACAAACGATCGTCTACCAAAGACGTTGAATTCGGAGCGCCGACAATGCCGACGAGAGCTTTCGTCCGAGGAAAATGGCGCCGGCGAAACTGCACTCGCGGATGTAGGTCGGCTTATTAATCGTTATTCCGCGGGAAGTAACGGGAGACGTTTTCTTTTCAGAACTACAAGGCAAAGGACGCCGGCAAGGTGGTGGTGTACACGACGACCATGGGAATCGTCAGGGAGACCTACTACGCCTGCACGAAGGTGAAGCAGATCCTGAGGACTCACATGGTCAAGTACGAGGAACGGGACATGTTCATGAGCACCGAGTCGCAAACCGAACTGAAAGACCGAATCGGATGTACGTCGATTCGAGTACCTCAACTCTTCATCGATGGTCAATACATCGGGGTAAGAATTTCGTTGCTTTAAAAAAACGGTTCAATTAAGGCGTCGCAGCTTTTCCAACCAAACGTTCTCTTGAAAGCGCGTTTCGACACCCTGCGGCTGAATTCTCCGTGTTGGGTGAAAGAGGAGAATGACAATGGTTACATTCGAAACGGCAAGAGCCTGGCACGGCGTTTCTTTCCACCCCGGTCATAAAAAGTCAGCCGCAGAAATATCTATGAACTTTTACTCAGGCACGAAGCACGTTTGTCTCGAAGTGAATTCTTCGGGGAGCAGTTTAAATCAGGAAAGTAACAATGGTCCGATTCGAGACGGCGAGGGAGCGATAAAGCGTTATGTTTCACTTGGATAGAAAAAGTAGCTCGTAAAAGTGTCCGGGGAGTTTTGGTTAAGTACATTTGTCATCGCAACTTCTGCGCATCGACAAAGTACGAGATATCCCTTTCGCGTTATTAATTCCCAATTTGTCTTGGGAGGCAACGATCGCGCCATGTTGCCCGCTCTAGGCGTGCTCCACCCTATTGTACCTCGCTTGAAAAGGGGCCTCTTTCGCGTGGTATTGAATGGTAAAAAGGCGTTATTATTGCGGAGCCTTTCTAGCCAGGTTGGTACTTGCGCCATTGACTGGAACGCCGATATACATAGCTAGAGAGGTAACCAGACTCCCACGCATTGTGCCAGTTATGGAAATCGGTTTCCGATGCACGAGGACAAGGATATCCACGGCTGGACTCAATCGGAAGTGAGACGCGTGAGCGTCTGTTCGCGATTGTTCCCTCGACGATCGTTCGGGTGACTGTAAAGAAATCTATGTCTGCCTGAAAAACGATGAATTGTGCAAACGTAAAGGATTGCTTCTCACTTCCGGCGTCCAAGACGATCTTCCAAATCGCGTTCCACCAGCCATGGGGAATCTTCGCCGAGCATCGTCTCATAATTCACATAACCGAGGGACTTACATAATCGTGGGTATTCGAGCACCGAGAAAGTCGAGTGTCGACGCGAAATGTCAGAGACGGGCGACAATGGGAATGGAAACCGATCGACGCAAACTTGCGGAGAAACTTGAGCTTGGCCGGCGGCACTCGCTGCAACTCTCCAAGAATTGTACGAGGAATTTGACGGATGCGATTAAAGGAAGGAGTTCGAATTAAAAATCTGACTCAGCCGAAACGTTGAGAAGCGGTCTCCATGCTGACGTGGATGAAATTCTAGCAAACGAACGGCAACCGTCGGGTGCCGCGCTCGAAATAGGTTGTCGTTATTTTTATTTCCTAGAGTTTCTTCTTAAAAAGGCAATATTCTCATTCGAGAGAGCGTTGCGGCGCAGGAGACAGGGAGTTGCAATTAAATAGAGTAACTATATGATCCCCACCCTTGGTCTCCTCCGAATCGTTGTCGAATCAACGTGGGTCCCTGCCAGCGTCGTGAACGTGTAATCCCGCTAATGCAAGTGCCAAATCCGCGAAGCCGGAGCCACTTAGATTAATTCTAAGGCTCCCGCCTAATTCGATCGCAAGTCTGCCAGAGATCGGCCATAACTTGCCCTAATTATCCTCGTTCCACTAACGAGGATTGGGTAATCGACGTGGGCCCCTTCAGGGTGCGTAGACCGCCATTAAGGCGAGGAAATGCGCCAAGGTGAAACGAGGTACGCGAGAAGCGCATTAAGGGGGTACGAAAGTGGCATCCGAGGAATCAATCATTTATGACACTTTTCTCCATACCGAGAGCACCGAATCGTACGAATACGGAGGCCCTAAAGAAGGTTCCGACCCTCGTACAATTTCATTAACGTTGGACCGCATAGAAAGAAATCCGGGCTTTGCGACATTTTGGAAAAATCGGGATTGGCCAAATGCCCCTTTTGTCTCTCGTCGGTAGAAGAAAAGACACCCGCGATATCCATTATCCCGAGCCTTGGTCTCGTTCGAGAGCGCGTTTGAAAGCGGTCTTTGATCCGAGTATATGGAGCATGCTTTGTCCGTTGATAGACGTTTGTCATGTCGTCGTTAAGCTCATTAGGATTATAGATTCGATCCTGGAAGTTGGAGTTGTCCGGATTGGGTATGCAAGTAAGTGAAATGTCAAGCTATTTGATCCAAGGCCGACAGAGAGAGGTGAAGTTGCTTACGTTAACAACGCACACCGATCCGTTCCCATACACGTACACGTGGATGCAGGAGTGGACCACAACGGCATTCCTCTCTAGCTACGTCAGATTATTATTTTACTCGCTATCGACGAATCTTAGGGGACCCTACGGAACGGAATTTTTGCTTCTCCCGAGTCTCGCGGAATTTATTTCGATGGACCAAACCAGTTAGGGACGAGATTACCCCGTAGGCGTGGAATCGGACACGTAATAAGAGGAGCCTGGAAATTGTTCTCCGGTTTTTGCTAGAATAACGTAACGATACGTCCTGCCGAGAATGGGAATGAAATAAAGGGTCGAGGGGTTGGGAAATCGTGGATATACCCGAAGCTTCGTGCAACGCCGCGGTGCATACGAAGATTGCATTTTAAAGCGACTCTTCCTTTCTTTGTGCAGGATGCCGACGCCGTTGAGCGACTCAACGAATCCGGGGAATTGCGACGCATGCTCAAGCCTTACAAGGTGAGTCAACTCATCTCCGGAAACTGAATTTTCTCTTTTAATGCCTCGAGAAAAGGTCGCTCAACTGTGATGCCCTTAAAAGAACCTGCCGCTATCGTGTATAGTGTTTTGCATGATGTCATTTCCGACCACGAGAGAACGTTACCCCAGTCGTCGACTCGACTAAATAGCTGGAAAGCAGAGAAATATTGGGATTAATCCCTTCCACCGAGCCTGGAAAATTATTGCCCCCCCCCTTTTCCAGCAACGGAGTCCCTCCTTCGCTACAATAACCCGGGAGAGGGAAACCCAATAATAGTAGTCGGTTACTCGTCTTTCTCTACCTTCGATACCTTCATTAGCGGAGCTGCAGGGGACGTCAAAGTCACGGAAAGAAACGTACATTTTTTTCCGTCAATTATTTTTACGCAACGCCTGGTAGACTATAAAATTATTTTCCACTTAGTCTCCCAATTAATGAGTTTCTTTCGGAAGAGAACCCTCGAGATTTCCGTTTTTGTCCCCGCTAACGATGTCGCGAGTCTATTTCGGAAGCGCAACAAAGAGGTGCATTTTTTTTTTCTCGATCGGTTCTCGTCTGCCGCGAACTACCGCGATCTTCGTCGAAGCAATTATTCTCCGTGCCGTCGAGGTAACCGCTAATTAACCCTCCGCGATTTTTCCGGAAAGTCCGTGATTGTCCACGACCGCGGAGCGAAATCGCCGCGAGTTCCCCGCTAAAGTGGAATCCGCGCGTGTAACGTTGCTCGTTGGAAACGCAAGGTTATACAACCCTTTCACTTTTATCCGGCGAGTATCGCGGTCCCCGTCAAGTATCCTTCGTGGTACTCATAAATTTTCGCGTCAACCTCTTTCGAGACTTACCTTGTAACGACGTAAAGGTCGTTTACACGTGCCACTCGCTTTCGCGTGTCACCGACGGGACGCTCCTTTTGCGCAACCAACGCGCACAGCTGCAACTCCGACCAGCGTACGCGCAGCCACGCGAAACGCTACTTATTTGCATGCCTCTCTTGACAAATTCGTTCACCGTTTCCGCCGATACGAGAAAAATAAAGAAACGCGCAGAAAAAAAAATGTTTTAATTAAAAAGTGCGTGGAACTCGGGAAAGAGGGAACTTCTTCATTTTGGGCCAAAGGTGCGGATACGCTTTCTTCGGTTTCTTTCTCACCCCGATCGTCGATTCTGTTTCAGAGTGCAGACGCGTGCACGACTTGCAAGATCTGCGGCGGCTACGGACTGCTGCCATGCCCCGTGTGCAACGGCAGCAAAAAGTCGGTGCATCGGAACGACTTCACGACGGAATTCGTCGCCCTGAAGTGCATGAACTGCGACGAAGTCGGACTGGTCAGGTGCCAGCATTGTTGAAGAAGATCGAAGCCGAAGAGTCTCGAGTCGAACCGCCGTCGAGTCACACCTGCTCAACTCATCCTATCGTCTAACCCGTTCTCGCCGTATTAACTGATATCCCCCCTCTCTCTAAGATAAGGTGCTAAGATGTTAAACGATACGCTACTGAAACAACTAACAACGCATCTCGCTCGGGAAGTGACTAATGGAACGCCTGGGAAAAGGGACCTCGTAGATCTACGGAGGATCCGTCGACGACCGACCGTCGCCATTGTACATTATCAATAAACTGCTCGAAACTTTTGTAACTCCTGAATTCGCGGCAGACTGATTTCGTTGTGCCAGTCGGTGTGCATTGTGTCGCCAACGGTGCGATTAAATCCTGCGAATATTCCGCAATTATTAGTCCGAGGGCGGGTGGGCGGGTCGAATTATCGAGCCGAGCCACCGCAACGAGGAAAGGGTGAGTAACTCGTGCGATGATCTCGTAAGAGCAATTAAGCACCCTCAAACTATCTCGGAACTTGCGATTCGTCACCCCTGTGCGGGGTTTCCGAGTCGGAAAGTCCTTTCGGCAGTGGCGCTAATCGAGACGTTTAATCGAGCCGCGATTAAACACGTCGGAGCGAGTGAAAGCCTTTCCGGTGTCGAGAATTCCGCGCCATGGCGAATCCTTGCGATCGCTCCTGCAGGACTCTAATTGCTATTTCCGCTAATCTCGGAAATCCTGGAAAACGGGACTCGTAATACCTTCGACCGAAGAGAAGTCGATCCAGAGAGGATCCTTCCTCGAGAGCAAAATAAATTCGAAACCTTGGCTGAATTCCGGAACGATATACGCCTGTATCGTTTATATAGATGATTTTTATATTTCCCTTTTGCTAATCCCGACAATGCGTCCAAGAATGGGACCATTTTATCGTTACATGGTTATATCGTCCCAGTTAATGGGAACCGAGAGTAAACTGTAACGTAGAGAAGGTGAAACGCGAAGTCCCCGAATGGAGCTGTAACGTCGGCGCCATTATTTCGCTGCATGTAGCACCGACGAAGTGACGATTTTAATTACGATAATGCGAGACGTCTGCGCCGTCACACGAAATACGTTTCGTACATAGGGTAGGGAAACCTCCCCTCGCCCCTGTCTATGAGCTGGTACCTTTGTTTACGTATGCAACAAGTTAAATCGATATTCTCGCCGCTCCTATAGTGGCGCCTCCCCCAGGAGCGAAATGACGCTCCTGGAGCACGTATATTTAGGACGGCGGGCATATTTTCCCGAAATCTCTGAACACGAGCCCGTAAAATTGCGGGCGAGAACGATGCTCTTATCCAGCAATTTTGGAGTCCGATAGGAATCCGGGGTGACTCCCCATGAACGAAAACTGCGTAGGGATGCGTTTAAACATTGAAGAGAAAGGGCAGAGAACGACGCCCCTGCACGACCATCGAGACTCGGGGGTCGATTTTATCGTCGGGCATCTCGGCCGCCATCGATCGCTCCATCTTGTATAGGAACCTTTCCGGTCCAATTTTCGCGAAGAATGCCGATGAAAGATGAGCTAGGTTTCGCCTCCGAAATGCAGGGCGGATGCAGGCAAGCCCAGCTGGACCGGAGCGAGCTTCGGGGCGCGTCCATATCTCGACGTTTCTCGAGGATGTGCATCGGTTTGCTGCACTCAGGGCGGATCGAACGGGTCCACTGCGGACGCGATTATGCGTTTACCGCACGCTATCGCGGATTCTCCGCGTAGCATGCGGAATTCACTCCCTCGAGGCCGAATCGGCGATTCCGTGCGAGCTCCTCTTCCGCCGGGCCCTGCATATTTTATGCATTCGACGTTTTACGCCTCGAACGTCCCGGCCTCCTCCAAGCCGGCTATCGACATATCTCGTGGACGAGGCTTTAAAAAGAAAGCTGCTTCTAGCCGCGTACGACGCAAAAATCTGGACGAAGAAGCGAAATTACGATCCAAATCTTGAATATCGGGACTATTCGAATCCGGGGCCACTGTCAAAGAACATTATTTATTCTTCGGCGATTCGACGCCGGAATCGTGGAGACGGATCGAGGGTTGCAATAAAAGATGGCGGGCGATCGGGGAGAGTCAATCCGGGAAGTAGCCGTCCAGAGTGAGAAGGACAAGGACGAATTTCGGTCCATCGATTGCGGACCGACGAAGGGCGAAATTCGACGGGCGGTCGAAAAGCTCGAGAGAGAGCCTCCCCCGTAATCCAAGAAGCTCGACCTTGAGTGAACTCGGATCGATCCTCCCCCGAGAGCCTTTCGGTGGAAAGCACCGGTAAGCTACGGTTGCGTGCAACAAGTATCGCGTTGGAAGGAGAGGGCGCGATACGGAGGACGCGGAACGGACGGAGATAGAGGGAGAACTCGGGATGCACGTACGCGAAACGAGATGCCATCGAACGGGAAAATTATGCGAATTACTTTTCTCGCCGGTAACGCCAAGTACCGGGGCAGACGAGTAAAACCTATCCGAAACAAAGAGAATGAAATAAATTAAGCGCCGTACCTTACAGCGACCCCTGGAAAGCGAATACACGCGAGCGAGATCTCGACTCAATCGGAACCCCTTGTCGAGGGAGTAAAACCGCAACGCGTTCATAGATTCGCATCGGACGCGATCCGTCGCGTTAGAGGAACGATCTTAGCTGGATATTCCGCTGCAGCGGGTAAGGGCAATTTCCTGTCTCGATGGCCCGCCGATGCGGTATCAAGGTCGAGAAAGGAACCCACGGGTCGAAGTCGGCTAATTGCAGTCGCCAAAGAGCGACCGTCGCCGCAGCCTTGGCGTCCGCGGGGGAGGAGCAGGTGTTTCCAGGGCGCGCGAGGGAGGGGGCATTTATCGGGTACGGGAGCCGAGACCTTCACCGAGACCGAGTTGGTCGACATTGCCCTCGGCCCCGCGCGGCGCGGGGAGTGGACGTTCCCGGCCCAGCTCGCGTCGCGGGCCTAGGGGTGCGCGTGACGTCACGCGCGGGTGGCGGGGGGCGTCGGGGGGCGCCGGCGCCGCTGGCCGCGACGCGACTCGGCCGGAGCGGATCGAGCATCCGGGCGCACTCGTGCTCGGGCAACGCGAGCCATGGGAGTGGTGAAGGCTGCCTCGGAGAGCGTTCTGGCCGAGACCGTCTTGCCCAGCGAGGAGGCCAACCATTCGCTGCAGGGCCATGCCGGTGAGTTTCCCTGGCTTGCGGCGCCGCTTTCGACCGGTCGAAAGCGGTCCTTTTCGAGATTCGCCGGTCGACCGCCGAGGGGTGGGGCGAGGCACCGTCGCGGAGGACGATCGCTCGCGATCGGCGCGGGTCAGTCGCGGGTCAGTCGCTCTCCGACCTTCGCGCGGTAGTGCTCGGTAGTGTCGATAGACGGGGCGGCGCGGCCTCTCGGGAACGCTCCTCGCCGGGGCCGACCCCAGGAACGTTAGCTAATGGGAGTGGAGGACTTTCCCCCCCACGGGACCCGGGGAGTCGCTTGCCCTTGGTCATCGCTGTTTCCCCGAAGACGAGCCCTGCAAGGACGCATCGGTATCGAGCCTCACCCCTGAAGTAAGCCTCATCGCGAAAGCGACTTCGCTCGATCGATAACGGCGGGACAATTTTGATATCGATCGTATCGATGATAATAATATTAGCGATGTTAAGAATATTAACGATAATACCCCGGTCGACGTTCCCGCGATAGAATTCGAGGTGGGAGCGTATGTTGTAGAAAAAATGAATAGGGTATTTATATCCGTCCGGGTAACGACTCGAAACTCGGAAGGTCAGGGACAGGGAGGAAAAAACCGATTTCCCCGGGAAAGCGCGCGTCCGGAAGGAAGTTTCCCCGTGAACGAGAAGACCCCGGTACTCGGTTACTCCGATCGCGACGCCGAGCGGTCGTCGAGGCGGAACGAATCCGGCGACCGTTTCGCCGAGTCCTCGGAAGCCCGACGTCCTTTGAAAGCTCCTGGGCGAGCCAGAAGGTTCGCTCGCGAGCTTTAAAGCCGATAGCTCGGGACTCCGCTGCTAACAGGTGTTCGCTCTATACAGATATAGTGGCGGACGCGGAGCGGTCGCCAACCACCGGCTACCCGCGGACAGTCGATTAATCCGATTTCGCCACCGCGGATGCGGACTCCTTTTTAGGGATGTGACGTTTCGCCACTGCCGATTATGATACGTTATGTCGTATCGCGCGGGGAAATATTTTGCGGGCATCGCGAGGTCTGTCGGAATTATCGTAAATAAAAGTAATATTCGGATCGATGGGCAAATGGCAGAAACGTCGAGATTTTTTTCACGGGGATGGAAGTCGCGGCAACGATTTTTCGCTCGGTTGCGCATGTCCCGGATTATACGATCAGGCATTTTCCTTACAATGGAGGGATAAAGCCTAATGCGTATCGAAGATGCGAAACAATGTGGAATCCGCAGCCTTGACCTCGGGCGAAGAAGACCGGCTCGATAGACCTCCTGCCTCGAAAGAGCCAACTTTTAAGCGCATCTTTAGAGCAGATTTATTCCCGTAACTTGCAAGCCCTGAGTTAGAACAAACACTACCAAATTGCTCGTAATAAACGCTCATCCCTGCCGGTTTAATTAACGCAATATACGCCGGGTGCGGATTATTGCAACAAATATTTACGCGGTGTACGCGCTTCGGGCGTCCTAATAATCAATCCGTAAATTTCGATGCTTATCAATTTTTGGGAACTTTTAATCGCCGCGTTGGAAAATTCCACGAGGTGTTAACGAAAGGAACCACCTTGCCATTTACTCGCGAAACCGTAACGAATGACGGAATGTCGGATGGCGATTCAGGTGTCAGGCTATTCATCGTGTCCGATATTTAATGGTTTTCCATGCAGGTGGTTATAACGATAGGGTCATGGTCACTCCTTGGTCTCGAGGTCTCTCGAATCGACCAGAATGGAAGTCGACAAATATCCTCGGGACATCCAGCCAATAATATCGCCGGTATTCCTGTAGGACTTCCCCAACTTGTCCAATAATCGCTATACAGAATGCCGAACGCGTCTCCAAAATGTCGCGAAATCCGGACGGGGTCGCGAAAAAGGTTTTCGTAATGTGCGGCTGGCCTCTCGTTTTCGCGTTTCGACCTCTATTTACTTCCGTATGTAAATACGCCTAATTTGGTGGACAGGTATTAAACAAATATCGCGCGCTTCAACTTCCAATCGGTCGATCGAGTTTCGTCTTCAGGGTCGATCACGAGCTTCGCCTCCACCGGGAACGGAGGTGCCCCCCGCGATTAACGTCGGGTCGGCGTCGGTAATCCCCGATTGGTCGGTCTCGGGCTTCTCGGAGGCCTCGTCCCTTTTCAGGCAGGTCCTCGCGTCCTCGTCGAGTTCGCCGAGCGGCAGGATATCCTTCCGAAGACGCTCTATGGCGTCCAAGAGCAGGCTCATGGTTTCCGTGTAGTCGGGCTCGAACATCTTGCCCTCGGGGTTCTCTTTGAAGAGATACTCGGCCTGCAAAGGGAAAAGGAAGCACGGAATTTTTTCTAAAAATCGAGTCTTCATCCGTATCATGGAGTTTAATTTCAATCCTTTTTTAGTTTATTTAGTAGCCGGACGTTCTCCAACCGAACACTAAAATGTACATTTACGGTTGCATCCCGTAATAAATTTTGCTTCGTTTTCAAATTTAATTAAAACTTTATTTGACGTGCCGACAAAGGCCCGCGAGTACACGTATACGATTTTGAACCCGGGCAAAGCTCGCAGACCGCAGCTGGCAATGCCACGGTAATGCCAAGTTTAAATTGCGCTATCCGTTTTACAATAAGCATGATGGTAATTTTGGATAAACCTTGGGGACGCGTTTAAAATTATTAATGAAAAAGTGCAAATCGGAAACTCACGAGATAGTCGACTGGGTCTTCGGGTCGCAATTTCGCGACTTCTATGAGGCCTCGCGTCAATGTCGGAAACACGTACTTGACGAGATATTGTCGCAAAGGCTCGCTCGAAATACCGAGACGCTCCTCTTCCTCCTCCTTCAGCTTTTCCATGAGGTTAGTCTGAAATGGAACCATCCTGTCAAGTGTCTATCAGCGTTCCGTTTAGAAATTGAGTTTTCCTCTCAGGGAAATAAAACGATTTCTAGAGGCGCGGCTTGCGAATAAATTCCTCTCCTCCTCGGGGGAGCCACGGCATTAAGGAAACGACGCGAAAAGATCCGTACTGGGAATTCTGCGCGATCACTCTCGCCGATAAAGAGACGAGGATAATGTTGCGTCGCGTATCGGAACCTTCCTTAGATGTTAAGGCGGTAAAATTGTAGTCGATTCGGTACACCCAGTTCGCAAAAAAGTAACATAAACGAGACGCTTTTTTCGTATCGCCTTAATACGTCCTGATACTCCCCAAGTGGAAACGTTGCGTTAAGAGGAAACGTGGCTCCAAGAGGAAGTACGAAATCATCCGACACCTCGGTAGGACGTAATCGTACACGTGTCGTACGATAAGCCACTTACCCATTCCATCATCTTTTCCACGCGTTCCTTTTTCCGCTCGGAGTCCTCTCTAGCTTTCCGCGCCTCTTCCGCCAGCTTTGCCGCAAGCGCCACCGCGTCCTCCCGCTCTCTGCTCGCCTCCGTTTCTTCGGGTGTCGGTCCTGAGTCATCAGGAATCGTTTGAAAGTACGTCCGAAGATCAGCGGGGTGGAAAATGAACAGCTGAGTCCTGAATTTTCTCGCCGGTATATGTCGCGTTTAAATTCCATTTTCACACCCCTTAACATCGACACGAAATTCCTGGATCGCGCACGTTACACCGCGGACGATCGGCGGAATTACGACGGAAGTGAAACGGAATGATCCTTTCGGCGGGGACGGGGTTTCGCGTCGGGTTTTGCGAGTTTCGAGTTTATTTTACCGTAATTTCGCGGCTCTCCGAGCTTTTCCAGGCATCGATGAAACGTCGGGAACATGTCCGGGCAAACGTCGTCCTCTACGGGTATTATTAGCGGATGCACTTCCAGCTCGTCGAAAAATTGCAACGGGGTGTTGTCGAGCGTGTTTCTCTCCCTTGTGACGGTGCGAATGATAGTTAAAGGTCAGCTTTTTTTTACGGGAAAAATATGAACAAAAAGCGAACAGCTGTTCCGGCCGACCGACGCGAACGTTCTCACTGTCCGATAATCGGTAAACGAGGCAACGCGTGTTAATTGTAAAAAGAGCGATACTTCCACGAGCTTTCTTCGACGGTGTCGTTAAATCTTTATCTTGCACCTTGGCTGTAATCGGAGAACAAATACCTGTATTCTCGTAAGCGGCGGAGAAACTCCCTTTCCATGTAATGCGTCCCCTGAACTTCCTTCTCGGGTAGGTTGATTACTCGCTCTATCAGAAATTCGTCATGCGCTTCTAGTGAAATTACCAGCTCCGGCATAATTTTGACATTTCCTCCAGGAACTTCCATTTCCTCCCTCTCCTCGTCCTCGTCCCCGACCCCGAAAAGGCTCTTAGCCTGTTCCAACGTCTTCGGGTATCCATCCAGGACGTATCCTTGATTTTGACACTCTTTGGATAACAGACGTTGTAGCATGATTCTAAACATAATCGTATAAATATGTGACCGGTATTAAAACATGTCCTAATAGAAATTAATGCAGGGATTAAAAGGCGATCGTTTTAAAATTCATTGACATGTAAAAGACAATAACTTATTCAACAAATCATCGTCGAGACGACCATTGCCCTTGGCTAGAGCGGTTTGAATCTCATCCAATTGTTCTTGTAATTGTTCGACTCCGGTTTCCGTTTCGTTTGCGTCTTCGTCGTCCTCGTCAATGTCTTCGAGGGCCTCCTCTTCGTCATTTTGTTCCTCTACCGTGTCTTTGACTTTGGCAGCCTCGATGTCTCGATTCTTTCCATAGATTTGACAACGATGTTCGATTTTTATTTAACCGCGGGAAGCATTGTACAATGTCGACGTGATAATTGAAAACTCACCAACTTCTGGACAGTATCTCCGATCAAAGACTTAACGCAAATGTAATGCAATCGATAATGTTTCGCGATGTAATTGGCGACGCGCGTCTTTCCGGATGCCGGAGGTCCCAGGACGATCACTTTAACGGGATGCAAATTCCGTGCATTCTTGTACTCTTTGACGATCGCATCTAAATTGTCCTTAAAAGGCAACTCGAAGTGCCAAGATAAATTCTGATCGACCAAGTAAGCCGGAGCGATTACTAGGTTCAAATTCATAACGTCGTAACTTTTCTGAGTGACGTCCCGTAAAATAAATGCCTCCTCTTTCGCGATACTTTTTATCCTTCCCGTTGTCAATCCTTTGCTGATTGTCTGGATAATACGAAAATGTGGATACCAAACATTTTCGCAATTATTTTGCAAAGGACTTTTCGATCGGTAATGCATCAACGCGAATTATAATTGATTTCGATGGTTCTAATTTTTTGGGAGACATACGTTAACGATGGCTTTTTGCGTTGCGGCCTCTTGTTCCACTGCGACGATGTACCGCAATTTCGGCCAGTCTCTCAAAAACCTGAAGACACTCCTGAAAATAAATTTATATTTAATGGCTTAAATAAAATGACGTTATGAATTTGTCCGGGATGTTTGGAGTATAGATTTGTCGGAAATTTGCAATTGGATTATCGAAGCTCAAGCTTACGAGACGATATCGCGGACGTGCAGCAGAGGGATTTTATTATTGCCTCGGCCAAAAACTGGCAAATAAGACTCGTTTTGCCAGGCCATCTTGAATAGAAAATGCAGAGGACCCTCCTCGTCGCCATAAGTTATTCCGCAACAAAGGACCAACGATTTAAATTTGTCCGCCACTTTTGTGTTCTTTTTAACCGACGTTACATTTTTTTCACACCGGATGTGCTCCTTAAAATTGGGATGCGGTCTTCGTTTTCGGAAATCTGCTTCCGTTAAAGGTAGATCCGGATCTTCGGGGTCCAATGGCTTTGTCAAGGCCCAAGTCATTATCGTGGATATTAGGATAAAGTGACGAGTTCCCTCGCTCCGTTTAAATGCCTTAGGTGTTTCCTCTTTCATCTTTTCCAATTCTCGGGTAATTGCTAAGATAAGTAATTAAATATTTATTTTTTACGTTGGGTTAGTCGCAGGCAAGGTATATATTTAAATGGAAGGCAATGTGCCGAAGTGCTTGAAAGTATTTATTGAAAGTCCTAGCTGCTTAGTTGCCCGCTACCCGTCGAGGACTAATTTGACGGAAAATAATTAGATTTCATCGAATTATCAACAGTTGCAAGTTTCGATTAACCTTCAAGAGCCCACTGAGCTTCGGCGATCTGACTTGCATCGTGAGTGATGTCATAGATGACATAACCACATTTCATTAACTCGGATAAAAATGACTCTCTCTCGGCTTCGCACTTAATAACCATGGTGACATCTTCCGGTATCCGATACTGCGACGGAAAAATTTTCATTTAAATAAAAATTCACATTGCTCAAAGCTATTCTCCGTGATCCTTGACACGGGATTATTCCTCCACGTAGGAACGGTTACTTTTATTACATAGACGTAATAATAACGTGTACCTTTCTATATACGTAATAATCCTGAAACGCATTAAATTGATGAAATTCCTTCCTGCGTACCTCGCGATCCATTACCGTGCCAATTACTTCGAATTTCCTGGGCATTTCAGCACTCTTGGTGGCAGCCACTTCGGTCTTGTCGAATCCGGAAACGCGTTCCTCCCCAACATCCTCATCCTCCTCCTCCTCCCCAAGAAAATCTTCATCTGCGCGAGGAGCATCGTAAAAGTGCTCGGGCAAAAACTACAAAATTGAATCAACCAATCGAGTCGACCCGGGCAAATTTTCTCTCCAATGTAAAATTCCCATAAATTGGACTCTTCAACCAAAAATTTGCAGCAATGCAGCAAGGGAAAAGGTACTTTCACCACGAGTTGTAGGTCCATCGTCGATGCTCGAATTATACTTAAGGTTTGCTAAGGAGACAAAAACCGAAAGAAGGTCGCTCACATCTGCCAATTTTTTCCCATGGTAGCTGTCGATGTGATTGATGAAGACCCTCCAAGGTCTTAAGCCGAGTTCCACGTGGCGTGCCTCTCGTTCTCGTTCCTCTTGGCGCATTCGAGCATCCTCAAAGCCGAATAGGTCGTCAAAGGGAACGTTATGTGTGCTTAGATCGTCAATGGAGGAAGCGGGCGTGCGTAATTTTCTGGTCATATCTTCGAGATTCCGTTGACGAATGCTCGCCGGGTACGCCTTACTCCATCAATGTCCAATGCCCGTAAGAACCCGAATACGTTTCACCCCGACACGTCGAAAACACCCGGGAGTTCCCGCCGTTGGAAAATGAAAACCTCTGGAATTGGAAAGCGCGAATAATGCCTTTATACAATTCCTCTCGATCCATTTCGCTCGTTCGTGGATAGACCGAGCGGAAACTCGATTCATAGATCATCCTGGTACCGAAAGAGTTACCGAAAAATATTTCTACGCGAAAAGGAACAATGTGTTGCGCACATCGGGGGAGAAATCGATGACGGGAATTCACGGTGCAGAGTGAAACCGATGACGCTTAGCGAGCTCGAGTTAGGAAGTTCCGGAAAACCTTCGGAAAATAGCACGCGTTTCCTGCTTACGTGGGAGGAAGAAGGTCAGGGACGGATGTTATTTTCCTGGGTGCGAGCAGACAAGAGTCCTCGAGACTCGCCCACGAATTCGGTCTTCCTTCCTCGAGAATAACCCCGGAACGCCCACGCGTTTCTCCCGTTTCTCCCGTTTCTCCCGTTCCCTCCCGTCACTGTCATCGAGACGTTCGAGACGCGCCGTCTATGTACCTACAACTTAATTTCACGGTAACCTCCGATCAAAACTTTAAGATAATAATTAATTATGGAGATAACGAAATGACGTTCTTTAGTTAAACAAATAATCAAATGTCGTTAAGATCAGTCGTCGAGGAAAACTAACCTGCCTTTTTCTTTGCTACTGTGAAAGCAGTGGTTCGTTTACTAGAGGAAATTAAATCGGCCGCTTTTTCTCTGATTATCTTTTTTGCTTTTGTTGCCAAGAAACGTTAATATAATAATCCATTTCTCGCGATGGAGCTCGTAATTAATTAAAACAGAAGAAAAACTGCAGTCGACCAGGCGCGATCGCGTTTTCATCCGGGATTAATCGACGGGCATATCGATACCGATGTCGATCGATCGATCAACCGTGGTGATTAAAATTTTAAATGCTCGGGGTAATCGGCTTTTCATTGTAACGTTATCGTAGGTATCGAAGAGACAACCGGTAAGAAGTATCCAATCCGGAGCTAACCATTTTCAAAATTCGCGAATTTCACCTTCCTTCCATTTCGCGACCATATTTTTTTCCGTGCTATAAAAAATAAACTACTCCTCGGTACATTTTTTTTAATAACGACTTTAATTTGACGGAGAGGTGCAGGGATAAAATAAGCGTTCATAAACTTCAACGTCGTTGAACCGGAGAACCTCTTCTTCACTTATGACCATATAAGTTCATAAGCAATAGACCGGGATATATTGTACTTTACTGCGCCGTCCCGGGATCGCCGAGCTTTTTCGAAAGCTCATGAAGATTTACGTCAGTTTTCCGCAGAACATGTAATAGGGTCTCGAACGCAAAAGTCGGTAACTCATCGGGCTCTCGGGATTCCACTTTTTTCGTAGCTCGGAGGATTTTGTCGCGATTTTCAGGTTATCGGGCATTCGAGGAGTCGATCGTTTATGAAACTTTCCTTGGAAGTGGGTGTTCCAAATTGTTCAAAGTTTTACCACGCGAATGTGGCGATCTTAAGGAAAGTCTCTGCATCCGTAAAATTGCTTTTGACAAAAAGTAAAGTTTCATAAACGAGATTTTCCTGTCACCTTAAGATATCCCGATGAACGCATTTTTTTTTTTTGACAACGCTTCGCGTAGTGCTAGGTTCACGTAGACTTTCTCCCCAGAGGTCCTCCTTAATAACATCACTTGTTGGCCATTTCAGCGGAAGTCTGTTAATTTTCAGAAGAGTGGAGCGACAGTTTCCCGTACCAACTGTTGATCGGAACGGGGGTCGCCCTGATGGCGTTGGTATTTTTGGCAGCCGTCAGTTTCCAATGTTCCTCCACCTGGAAGTGGCTCATGGGAGTCGCCAGGCAAGAAAGCGACGAGGACGCCGAAGGAGAACTCGCCCAACAAAATGCTATTCGAATCAGCCATTCCTTGCCCGATCTCCAGTCAGAACCGATTACCCACGAGTACATCCAGGAACAGAAGGACAGCAAGAAGGTATCAAAAGCAGTCCCATCTCGGTGCATCCGTGACAAACGCGCGAATCCATATTACTTTGCAAGAAATTCGATTAAAAATAGAGGTCACTTCGCGACCTGCATGTCGTCCTCGATGGACGATGGGCATCGGTAGGCAATTTCCTGTCGAAGCGTTAACGCGGCTATCGCACATCTCGTCGTTATCGGGAATTATCGCCGTAATGGATACCTCTATTTGCATCGAGTGCCATTGTTCGGCCAAGATACCTCCTCGTCGTGGTCCATGACAGCCCGTGACAATGTCGTTGCGTCCCTCAGGTATTGCGACAGACGACCCTACCGATAGTCCCCATGAGACACCAGACCTTCCAGCGACAATTGTCCCATCGCCTCGACCTGCCCAACATCAAGTTCAGCATATGCAGCCTCGAGAATCGAAGCGATTCGAGCCTTGGACTCCTGAAGGTACGGAAACCTTCGCTACAATGTCTAGGAAAGACCCATTCGACCCGACAATTTTATTTCCTATAAAGTAATCAATTTTCTCGGGGCATGACATTAAGATCGTCGCAAAAGTTGCGGAAACAGCTTCTTCAAAGCGTCGGCACTCGCTGCATATTTATTTCCCGGTGATTATTTCATGCGCCGTTATCGGTCTTCCCACTTTTCTCAGCCGGAGCTCTACAAGAAGGAACTCGTTCGCCAAGAGAGCAATGAAAGTTCCAGCACCGTGGAAATGGAATACGCCGGCAAACTGCACTTTGCCCTTCGCTACGACAAAGAGATCGACGGCTTGGTTGTCAAAGTGAGTTATCGGGGACTTGGAGAAACTCCTAACTCGGAGGAATGTCTGTAATTGCATGTATTTTAATTTAATCGACCGCTAACCAAGGACGACAAAAAGTTTTTCTTCCGCGAGCGTGGGCCCGAAATAATTGCTTCGTCGGTTTTAGCACCGCCCAAGAAAGGCCTCGAAATTGCTTCCGCCATTTTGGTCGCTATTAAATGCAATTCAATTCGAGATTTCTCGTAAATACCCGCAAGAATCGCGATTCGATCGTTCGACTCGTTGCCAGGTCTTGGAAGCTCGAGAATTGCCAATAAAGGACGTGACCGGTAGCAGCGATCCCTACGTGAAGGTGTACCTCTTGCCGGACAGAAAGAAGAAATTTCAGACCAAGGTGCATCGGAAGAACCTAAACCCGATTTTCAACGAGACCTTCATCTTCAGGTAAGCCCCGTAGCTCGCAAAGTACGCGGCAAATAAAATTCCCTGAAAGAACCCGTTAATAAAAAGTGATTATCGCGTCATTTCTCGCGATCGGGGCAATTTACTTTCTCCGTCTTTGATCGATGAAAAACCTGCCAGGTATGTCCGACCTCGCAAAAACCCGCGGTATCTCGAGTTATATCAAATAACTCGAATGCCTTATTTACGGACTCGGTGTAACCCGAATTAACGCCTGCCAATAATAAAATTACATAAACCGAAGGAATTGCCCGCGAGTGCGGCACCTCCGATAATTAAACGCGACTGGATCGGGGAATCTAATACTCGGGCCTGATTCGTCGTAAATCATTAACGTGCAGTTAGAATAATTACTAAATTAGCCATCAGTTAATCCCGTCGAAGTGGTCGACTGCGTGGGATACGATTAATATACCATGCGGCGTATAGTATTTAATAAAAAATACCGTAATTACATGGGCGCGCCGTTTTTAATTTTTCTCCTCGTTCCGGTCTGTCGACTCCTAACATCGAGTATACATTTTTCAGCGTACCTTACGAGGACTTGCGAGAACGTTACTTGCAATTCTCGGTTTACGACTTCGATCGGTTCTCACGACACGACCTGATCGGTCAGGTGGTTCTGAAGGGGCTGCTGGACTGCACCGATCTCGAGCAGGAGATCGAGTACACCATGAACATCTACTGCGCGCTTCAGGTAAACCCCGTTGCTCGGAATTTTTTTACAACTTCTAGATTTTTTTTTCATAATCACCGAACGCGTACAACGCGTCGTTAACTTTCCTCATCCCAGGAAAAGGTGAACCTAGGCGAGCTGATGCTGTCCTTGTGCTATCTTCCAACCGCTGGGCGTCTCACGCTGACCGTCATTAAGGCGAGAAATCTGAAGGCGATGGACATAACCGGCTCTTCCGGTAAGCATTTACACCGAGCTTTCTTCCGCGTGAAGTTATGTACCGTTCCGGGGAAATAACCGAGTTTAAGGACGCGTTTCTGACGGCGGTTCAACGGGTCGAACGCCGCTTAAGAGCGACGAACTCTTGATTAATCCCGTCTACGCAAACGCCAGATTTCATTCAATGACCAAGGTAGATTCACCGCGTCAATTTCTCCGTCCATCCCGGTTAAATTATTTTCGCATCGATGGTGTATTCAGATTTTCCGCTTCTCAGTTTCTCGTTGTTTGTGCAGATCCGTACGTGAAGGTGTATCTCCTGTGTCAAGGAAAGAGAATAAAGAAGAAGAAGACCACCGTTAAGAAGCGCACCTTGTGTCCGGTTTACAACGAGGCGTTGGTCTTTGATGTACCTGCTGACAACATCGAGGACGTCAGTCTCATAGTGAAAGTGATCGATTATGACAGGTAACGACTGCTGACGTTTATACGTAACGTTAACTCACCTCTAGAAGGCAATGAGAAAGACTTATGGCTGCCTTACATCAAGCTATGTATGTTAAATATGACTTCGCGATAATACCACTCGGGTTCCATCGGGATGGTATGGTCTCGTCGCGTCTGGTTAGGCTAAAGTATTTAAGAAAATTATAGATTTGTACATTCAGATTGAAACCTATATCGAGGCGATCATTTTTCAGGATTGGTTCGAACGAACTCATGGGTTGCACGGCGATAGGCTCCAGCTTTATCGGAATTGGACGCGACCATTGGCTGGAAATGCTGGATAATCCAAGAAAACCAGTCGCCCAGTGGTATCCATTGCTGGAAACCGTGGCCGGTCATATCCCAGCGGTGAGTTCGGAACCACTTCCGGTGAGCCTGAGCTGCTTGAACAGCAGGTGAGTACGAGAGCGATCGTTCGATTTCCTCGGTCGATTATTATCACCGACCGTGAAAGAATCGAATTATCGCGGTTCACCCATGGGAATTTCAGATGAAGGTAATGTGGCTGGCCACCGAGGATGCTCGCAAGTTCTGCAGGACGAGCGTTCGACCGATCGTCCGTAAAACCCCTCTGTCACTTTATGCACACTGCTTGACTGACTTAAGTACAACTCGATGCTAAGAAAGAACGGCAGACGAAATCTGTGCTTTGGATAACCATCGACGAGCGTGAAATGGTAAATGGCGCCTCTAGCCAGGGAAAAGGTTTCCCCGGATGGTAAAAGGTGGAAAGATGGAAGCTAGGATCTCGCGAGGTCAAGAAAACGGCCATTCGAATTCTACGCGGACCGAGTTCAGGGAAAGAATCGATTTTTATTCCTATTAAGCCCGGAAAATTATCAAATTTTGACGAGGCAATCGAAAAGTGATTATTTCGGGTCAGTTCACTTTGGCATCGAGAATTCAAAAATAATGACAAGAGTATACAAATATTTAAAATGAGCCATCTCGTGATATCCAGGAAATGTGAATTTTTTAACGAATTCAAATTAAGTAGAAAATTTCCGCAATTGCACATGCGTGTTTACGCAATCGATGCAAATACGTTCCGCGCGATCTTCGAATGGCACCTTGACTTCGTGCCAAGGATTGCATGTCCAAGAAAGTCGAGTAAAACGTCTTCTACGTACGAGTAACGAGGGTTATTCGCGGTGCAGGTGATACCTTAAGGCAACAGAAAATGGGCCTTACTCTCAGGTTAAGCGTAATGACAAGGCGATGTCAAAAAGAGAACGTTAACTACCGATATTGTAGTCGACGGTGCTAGAAGTCAGTAGCTGGTAGAGGCATGTCGAGTGTTTTTTATCGACGTGGAGATAAGTGCTAGGAGTGGCAGGCGTGGAGCATTTTTCTATGAAACTGTACAGTATCGAACAAGTAGGGAAAAGCTAGACGAAATGACGAATCGGTTGAAGCGGATAATCCTAAAATATCCTCCTAAAAAGGAGAGCTATGCATACTAATATTATAAATACTTAAAAATTATCGACGACTCCCGGAGACCCAAAAACTAAAGAGAAAATCTGAAAATTTACGAAATCGTTAGAGAAAGGAAAATGTCAGGTCAAAAAATTTGGAATCGTCCCGGAACTCGATATGAGGTAGAATTCGGAGGAAGTTAGACGCGATTCTAAAGTAAGACTCATAGAATTCTTTGCTGTAGGGAAAAGAAACATATAGAAGTTTAAGTACGTGTCCGGTGAAATTAAATATTTGATCATGGTTTCGATTACCATGGTGCACGTACTAAGCATAAATGACTTATTGCGCATATATCTATTTCGAGACGTACACGTGGCACATATTTTATGCGCACTAACCTTTCGCGTACCTGTGGCTGTGTACAACGTGTACAACGTACAAGTGTAGTACCTACTGCTATTTTCACACAAAACCGATGTGTTTCCAGGATGTCATCGGAAGCGTAATGCTTTCTACTCCTCGGTACTTTATCGAAAATTGAAAGGAACGGTACTCGTAACCGTAAACAGAGTATCGGGCACAAAGTATTTTTTTATACGACTCGCGGTATATTTTTGACTCTGTACCTCTTGTCTAGATATCTCTTAAAAGTATCGGTCCCATCACCGATTACGACAATCCGAAGGGTGTATTAACGCAATGGCTATGATAGTCCAGCGTCTTTGCCAATTCACGCTCGTCGTTTGGAGTATCCACTTCTACGCAAAGAACACGATGTACTCACAAGATATGTGTTATATGAGCCTTCAAAGGCCCTCTTTGTGATAATATACGAAACACGTACACACGTACACACAGAATGCGCGATGTGACTTGTAAAAGAAAAAAAAAGCATGTGTATCCGTTTGCTGCTTCGTATGTACACCTACACACGATAAACTCAAGCATTCGATCGTAACATTGATAATAACGTAGGAGATACTATTAAAAGTAGCAGGAAAATACTTGTACAGTACGGGAAATGGGGGTGACCTGAGAGCTAACTTGACTCGAGTACTTTGCTCCAGACGAGACGTTTTTCCTTTATTTAAAACATTTTTCGGACTAGGAAAAGGCCCCGTCCTATACAGTGCGGTCTAGTCGAAGTAATAGCGATTTAAGAAGGAATCGATGTCGACTCGATACCTCTCATTTATCGAGATCTAAAGATCGGATCCTGCTCGTTTCCGATCCTACCCCGCTTGTTCATCCTTCGGGTCCGAGGTTGCTTAAAATTGTTTACGTGAATTCGAATACGTTTAAGAATATCGTAGAAGTTTTCGACTCATTCGATGCGAAGTAGCTGAAATTTGTTCATAGAAATGATTTCCCTTCGGTATGGGTTCCTCCTCTTTTACGTAGATCATAGCTCATCGTACTCCGTTTGATACTGGGTGCAGAAGTTTAGGGGTGCTAAAGCTGGAAGTCCTATGATACAGATTCTATTTTTTTAAATCATTAAACCGATGGATTCGGCTCAAGCGCCTATAGTTGGACGATTAACACGTGTTGTTAGAGTACACGACACGACGGGATGTCGTTTTACTTGCATTACCGCGTTTCTACCAGAGAAACGAACGTCGAGAAGGATAATATATATTTTTCGCTATGTCTTCCATGTATAGAGACGGACATTTGCACCGTGTACGACGTCGAATCAATTTTTCGTTAACCCAAGAAAATGTTATATGCAACTAGATTTTGTTAAAAGTGTAGGAAATGCGTCGCGTAGACCGAACTATACGTTCCGATTTATAATCGAACTAGTTCCGATAGCGAATAAGACGTTAAAGTTCGAAAAAACGAATTCTAGTCGGATGAAGTCGGAAGTATTCGTCGATCGGGGTTGAACGATGTAATACCCAATTTCCTTTATGCCATCTGCATGCAGGTCATTTTATTTCCTGTAATTCGCGTTCCATACTATTCGGAAGACAAGGAGCTTTAAGCAATCTTGTATTCCAATCGACTAGCAAGATAGCTCCTTTATGCTACGATCTGTATATTAAGTTTTCTAATTTTTCTACGCCTGTGGACTGATCGACTTTTTTTCGAACTGAGCGGTTTGAAAAACGGATTACCTAGCTCTCGAAATAGTTGACCGATCTAGAAATATATACGTGTACGCGAAAGTAAATAGAGTTACCAATACCTAGAAAAGAAAATATTGGTAAATTGTAATAACTGCGTGGTGGATTTCTCCAACTCATTAGCGAAGAAAGTAATCGATAAACGATGTTTAAGAACATTAAAAACGGAGACCTACATTTTCTGCGATCGATTCTACATAAATCGGATGGCACGTGGAGAAACTTCCGCTGATAAAACGAGATTTCGGGAGAAGCTTGTGGTTACATAGTTTGTAAACGATTAAGTGTTTTAGAATGCGACCACCTTCCTGTTGCAGTCCGGAAACTTTTCAACAACGGACATAAACGTATACGTAATTACCGCGTATCTGCAGAACCGATGAAAATGATAGGTTTATGAAGAATATGGTACAAAATAAAATTCTGCCACATGTTTCTGAAAGTGATACCGTTGAAAAAGATACTATTTTCTTACGCCTTATAATTTCATGGCATTTGCACCCAGACCTTGTCACGCTATTTGTCAGCTTCTAACGATTTAATTAAACAACTCCTGGAGAAATTTGTCTATATTACAATACTTGCAAATGTCATTGAATCATTTGCAGCTACTTGAATAATAAAAATGTGGCACAGTGCTGTTTTGTACGATAAACTTTAAGTACATATATATATTAAGTATATATATATAAAAAGCGAGAAAATTTGTGTTTCACCAAGACTCATAAGTGGCATATATTATTAACTTAATGGACATATGGAGAACATATTTTCGGAGGTTTCCGATGAGAAAATCAAGTCCTTAGAAAACATTAAACATTTAATTGCTACTTGAAACACGTCCACTAGTAAAACTATAGTTTATTTCAATAATACACGCAGTGCTGTACCTGTCACCAACGGAAGTAAATATTTCTCTAGGTATTGTATAAATCTAAATGCGAAATGAATATAATATCGGAAACGTTAGGCGTAGAAAACTTTCAAGAAATAATCCAAGTGAAGAAATAACAAATTGACATTATTTAATATAAGAATATTTAGTCCAGATGTCTGATAAATCATAGGATGCGTCCTTTGGTAAGGCAGGATTCATCGTCAGGTTTCAAATCCTAAAGTTGCATTAAACCGTTTCAATTTATTCGTTTTATCCATTGACCCACATTTGCAGTTTTCAAGTTTGATATTTGATTACGAGTATCGGTCTTACTCGATAGAATTCTCCTAATTTCGGGCTAGAGTATATCGAGGTTTTAGGGGTGTCGTTGTCGGTTAACATGCGCATACTTTTCTAATGAGTACATATCTATATCGCATTTTGGACATGTAATGTCCCGTTGTGATTGTAAAACAAACGTAAGGTATAATAAATCGATATACTGTAAATCCGCTAATTGGTAATTTGCGTACCGTTGTCGGGGACGAAGCGGTCGCGTCGAAGCGCTTTGTCCTAGCGAAGGAATGTTGTTTTGACTAGGGCAGTCGGGTTTCGTCATCCGCGCGAGGCGGAGCTCCGCGATCGCTCTGTAACGGTCTCTATTCGTCTCAAAATCCAAATCCGAATCCAAATCCGAATCCGAATCCGCCGTCCGTCCATAAATGAAAGATTATAGTGCACCGAATATTACATCAAACATTGTCGCATCTGTAGACAAACTCAACTCGGCTCACCGACAAACATCAATCGGTAAGTACTCGTTCCCACGTTTTCATTTATGGAGGAACGCGTTCAGTCGATTACCGTTGTAAACGAGGTTGGAAAGGATCGTCAGAAATTATAATGATCCGTCTGCAACATCAAATGTACTTTTAATTTATTTTACTAATTATCTTTACATATTAGTCTACCTTATGCTAGGATACAACTTTCCCATTATGTCACTGCTAATCGAAACGTTATGATAATTCTAAGTATAAAATAAGCAATAGAGCTTACTCCATAAGTAAGTAGCAACGATTTAAGTACTTCTACTTGCCGGTAAGAGGTACTTGGCGCAATTTGCGTTATGTTAAACTTATTGAATCCATTTATTTTTCCTGCAACCTACGTACACGACTCGCATCCCGGCATTTAGATCGCGCTAAAATCGGCTCGTTCCTCCATAATTTTTTGAAAAACGTCTCGTGGCTACCGATTGAAAATTAGGCCATTTTTCGCAGCGCTATTGGCGCTAATTCTACGACTTTTGTTTGCATACTCTCAGCGATATCGAATACCCAAAAGGGGGAGCGCAAGCGCGGTTAGAGATTAATTACGAGGCGATTTGCAATTTTCATCGCAAATCCTGCGTTACAAACTTTAAAGTTACGGTGAATGTTGCTTTTTCAAACCTAGAGTCGTCTACCTCCCGATTATCGTTTCGTACGGACGAGGAAATTATATGCGGTTAGAGACCTACCTATCGTTATAGCTATCGTTATTGAAAAAAGGATCTACCGTAATTCTCGCGTACTCTTTCCGTTACTTCGAGACACGCTCTCGGTGAATTTCCGCAATTTGAAAAATCGTCGAAAATCCGGCAGACCACGAGTCTAGAGTGAAAGCGCGCGAAACGCTAAAGTAACGCTCTTTTTTCTCGGTACTTCGTTTTTCTCTTTTCGTTTTCTTCCTCGTAGCTACGCTCATATAAACACTATAAGTACGATAGCCTAGACTTTATTTTAACACTGTCTGGTTCGAGCTTCGACGAACCGAATAGAACTTTACACGGCCTTTTATCGCAATGCTCGCGTTATCGATACACACTCTTTTTGACTGCGAGGCGGGGTAATTAAAATTATGTCCACACGTAAACATGTAATGTGCTTCCGCGAATTCGAATATACAAATCTATGCTCCGTATCCGAATCCGTGTATTAACGATAAAGATGATACGATAATAATATAGGCAAACTCTCGTAGCGTTGTACTTAGCGTTATATTTAAAATAGTAGCATTATTTTATACCGAAGTGTATTTAAGTTCGGACAGAAATTGATTTGAGTTAACTTCCTTTCCTTCGCGATCTCTCCCCGCGTTCGTTTTTACTCTCTTTCATTCTTCTCTTTTTTTGTTTCTGCATTATGGAGGGAATTCACTAACAACTTGCCTTGAAAATTGCAGCATTCACACCTATGTATATATATATATATTTATATGTATATATATTATGTATATATATATATATGTATAAACAAATATAAAAACTCTGCTTCATATTCGCATCGACTCGCGCCGCTCGTCGATGCGGTTCGCGCAATTCGGGAGCTTGCTTGCCTTCCAAAAAAAGTCAATAAAGTCGTCCTCGGGTGGCAAAAGCAGAAATACTTAGTTACGATACTTTTGACCATTTTCTCTTTGTGCTTTTGCCCACGTTCGTCCGAGTTTGTCGAATCTTTCCAACAAGGACTCAGCGCTACTTCGGCGACTTGCGCGCATGCCAAGTGTGAAAATATGAAATGCAGATGGAATGTTTCCTAATTCTTTTTGTTTGTTAACGATCACTTTTTTATGCTTGCAAAAATAATACAGTGACGCGCCTGCATAACGAGCCGCGTATCCGCGTGCGGAAATCGCGTGAATCCGCTTTAGAATCACGCATTTTGCAAGAAAATTAATCAGGCACGAACTCTGCGTTTCTTCGCTTCCCAAAATTCTCGTCGATTATCGGAACTCGATTCTCGAATTCTCATACAATGTACGACCGTATTCGTACACGGGACGTAAGTGAAACCGGTACCGGATTAATTCACTTTTAAATAAATTTTACACCTTTTTTAAAACACAAACTAACGTCTTGAAAACGTCAACAACCGAAAAGAATTTGTAAATAATAAATGCGTTAAGTTACATTAACGTGCTTAGTACGGAACGTTAAGACTTCAGACGGTTTTAATTCGGCAATACGATCGGAATTATCAGCTCGGTGAATGGCCAATTAACGAGATCGTTGCATGATATCGAGAATGGAGCTCGTTACCCCGACGTCGTATAGCAAGATGAGCTTAAAAAAAAAGACATCATTCACAGCAGTATCGAGGCGGGATGAACTAGTTGCGTTACGATGCGACAAGCCCGATCACGCGTCGCTTACAATGATGACTCCGTGGACTTACAGATATCTACTTTTAACTGTAGAGTGTCTATTAAATATATGCATATCGACAGCTAAGTGGGCCTGCAAACGGTTAATGACATTTTGCAGTTCTTGACTAGCTACGGCATTATGTGCGTGACTTTAAAAGAAGGGAAACAAGAACTTGCTTAACAACGGTTGCAATAGCACAAAAAATCCATGTAACGTGAAAAGGAATTAAGTTGAAAACCGAATTATGCGTCGACTAACTCAATTGAGATCTTAGTACATCTTCATATAAGATCAACTAACGTTCAGTTTGAGTACAGCGTCGACTTGGTTTCTACAACCTCACAAGTTCTAGTATAGATAAATTAAAATCGCCGCTACGAAGTATCGTCAAATCTGTCGTATCTGTAATATTGCACCATAGAGATCTACCCAATGAGGAGATAGTGATCATCATGCAGCAGTGCACATATAAATTGTAACATTAATTCATTTAAGCAGCGTGCAACCATGACTATCGTACAATTACGTTTGCTGCCGCAATCTTGCGTTTACTTGTCAACCACCCTATTGCAATTTCACAATTACAGTCACACTGAACATCACTCTCACATATTAATGAACAAAATTGTATATTCTCACTTTAACGCCTGTCTCTGCTCGCATACTCGATAGGATAGTCCTTAGAAAATAAATTGAAGTACCGATCACCGTCATTTTGTAAGGACTACCCTAAAATACGGAGATTTGCTAAGATTCTCCAAAACGTCGGCGATTAGTTCGCACCTCGTTTGCCATCCAAAGCGGGGCCCATTAGCCTAATTAATTCATCGGAATTATCCATATCGATAGAATGTCGCATGCGAAAATACTAAGAGATATATCCTGACGAAGTTAAGCTGGACGGCTTTGATGAAATTAGGATCTCGTTCGAAGGACGCGAAAGTCGGGGATTAGCTTTGCGGGGATTTACATGTACAAGTTCTCTTGCGTTATAGGCTCCTCTCGGAGCATACCGTGGAACTCGATAAAATCTACGGATTTACAGCCGGAAGTCAGTACGAGCGTTTGCAATGTCGGCGCAGAATTAGTGCAGTACGTTGCACGCGAACTGGGGCGTTCGCGTTAAGCTATACCTAGGTACAATGGTACTTTTTTTTTCTTTTTTTATTTACAACGGGACCCGCTAAACACGATATATCATTAATACGCCAAACCTTACGTGTAAGTCGACGCATAAAAATAAGTTACGCGCAGTTTGGCATCTCTCATCGAATCGCTATTCTCTTTCCCGTTTCTTTTACTTTTAAATGTTTTAACGTCGCTCGCGTTTCCTCGACTTAATTCAGGAAGCCTCCAGCGATCGGGATGTCAACGGATTAGTTCGCATCTTTTTATACAGCGGATTAATCCGTCCTTCCGCACTAATTCGCTCTTCTGTAATTGACTAGCGTTATCGCGCGAGTTCGCGCTTTATCCGAAGCTTGCACGGCGTTTGGAAGCTTCCCTTTCTCTCTTCTCTTATCATCTTTACTACCACTTTCCTCTTTGTCTTTCATGCGTTCCTCGGATCGAAGAATCTTACGAAAGGTTCTATTGAAATCCCGAAATAAATTACCTCAAGAAGTTGCGACCGAGAGGCAGCTCGCACGCGGAAGTGCTCACTTTTCCGGAGTGTTGCCCGATTTTTAACTCGTCAAACTTAATAGCGATTATTGCTGATCTGCTCGGAGTTTATCCTGAACCGGATTTCATGCTGTATTAATTCGGGGTGATCGCATGATTCATAATTCGTGATCCTATCGCGACGGTAGTAGTAACTCAATAAGGACTCCGCAGTCATAGGAAAGTTCGGCTAGTTTGATTAAGTATCGGGTCGGGTTCTTTTCTTCGCCACGAAAAAGACCTACGTACAAATGTCCATTAACGAGATCGGCGATGTATACACTTTAAGTACGCGCATTTAAGTACCAGAAAATACCTAACGATTTATAGCAATTACCACGCGAGCCAACTTAATTGGAAATGTCAAATTGATCCCGCGAATTCTGCAAACTTCAGCGTATTTACTCGAGTAGTTATACTCTGTGTCAGCATATTCATATATTCAGCTACTATTATAGATTTGGATAGTCTTGTCGATTCAACTAATCCGGTTATTCTTTATGTCTCTTTAAGTTTTTCCAAGCCCTTCAAACTTTTCGTTCTTCTGTTTACCATGACACGAATCGGTAGTGCTCCAGTCAGCTTTAGTCGGCAATTATTAATTTTGTTATTCGGTGGTAATTCCTGCTTTGTTCTCCGTTTCTTTAAACACCATGACAATTAATTCGATCGAGAGGTTTGTCCTCGAATATCCGAAGTGGCCATTTTGTTAACGAACAAAGGCATACTTTCGGAAGCAGAATATACCATAATTTCAGTAACGTTGCTGGAATTCATGATGCCACCGATTAAAATCGATGTGGAATATCACGATCGAACCGTTTGCCAGACCAGCCAGTAAAAACCTGAAAATAATAACATTCGTTTATATCGCATAGTTATCGTGCACGCTACCCAAAAAATTTGTACGTGCAATTTACTTACTTCTGATCGTGGGAAAGTGCTAAAGAACGAACACTGCTTTCACAGGCCGGAAAAGCGTAAAGTAGAGCGAGATTGAACGTCCTCCAGACTTCAACGATACCCTTATCACCACCGGTCATTAAATATTCTCCGTCTCTACTCAACAGCAAGCACTATACCGACAAAATTAAAAATTAGTATAATTGAATTAAATATGAATTACTAATCGTAACACTTATAAAAAAAATCTCTCCAATGTTTAACCATATTTACGAATTTCGTTAATTTTACCTGGAGATTATCGTTGTGAGACTCGTGTCGCAAACGTTTGCCGTTTATGGTGAACGCAGCTATATGACCACGTTCATAATTAACAACGATGACTCCTTCGCGAGACATGGCAATATTTTCAGGGGATGAAAATCCAGTAGGTGCGTCCAAAGAACGCAACAAATCCCCAAAAGTGGTGTGCACCAAAACGGGTCCATCTGTTAACGTTAGAAAGATGTGTAGATTATAGATTAAGAATTATACCGTAGTGCTAAAGTGAATGACGTACAGTACGATCCAGAGACAACGAGTCCTAATTCGGCAGAAATGACAACGGCTGTTACGGGCTGCTCATGACCGGTTAACGTTGCACGGGGGGCGGGGGCTTCGCCCTCGCCAACAATTGTTTGAGTCCTGGCATTCCAATGCCACAACAGTACAGTACAGTCGGCACTTCCGGAAGCGATGTAACAATCCGACGTGATGTTGCACTCACTACGCGACAGACAAGTTACGACCCCGTAATGGCCGAAGACTATCTGCACGATTTTTGCTAGAAACGTGGCATAAAAGATAGTGTTATTAACAGCATACAGTGTTTAGAAAAATATAATAACTTACCAGTTTCCGTCGAGAAAACCCGGAAGCTGTTGTCCCAAAATCCACACGCTACGAGGAAACGACTATCCACCGTTGTTACAAAACAGTTGCTACGAATCTTTAATTTTTGACTGAAGTTGTCACCCAAGTGCCGACGTAGAGCAGGATTCGAGCTGTTCGCGGTTTGAGCTGGATAAGAAAATACATCGGGACGTTGCGTTAAAACTTGAGTGAAATTATCTAGAAACGCCGTAATCGTATCGATAACTTCGGGCATGGCTTATTTTTATGCTTACATAGCACAGGGTCCATTGACAGCGGTTGATTTACAGCTTGTGCTTGAGGAGTATCGGCATAACTGGGTGATTGTACGGATGCTGAAATTAATCAAGCGGTTTACATCGTTTTTCATAACTGATACATTGGTAACTTGGTCGGTTCTTAATTTTTCTTTTTTTTTTTAAACGTACCGGCATAACTAGTGTTCCAGCGGTTGACGGCAAACTGCTGACCGGTGGTAACGGTGACCACCGAAGGTAACGGTAACTGAGGATAGGTGTTAGCCGAAATATGGCAAATCGGCGAATTCGAGGGAAACTTGATGGTCATGCAAACGTCATCGGGAATGCTCGAGAACATCATCGGGGACAAATGCATCGCCGAGCTTCTCGGAGGATGCGGCTCCATTAGAAGCTGCGACGGTGTTTGCCCGAAATTTCGAATTTGATTTTCTATAGCTTCCCTCATGACGGGGTCAGCTATGGAGTCCAACTCGACGCTCCCCTCGTACGTCAAATAGTAAAAGACGTTAGTAGCTCGAACAGCTTCCGGACCTACACGGGACGGGGTAGAGAAAATTACTTTGAATATAGATAAATATTAGGTTGCGTAATCTTTTTTTCTGTGAAAACGAGCATGGTTCCGGATGGGGCGCCCGTCGTCCCATCCCCCCGTGCTATTTCCGGGCATACATGGCACTGCCCTCGTAAACGTGTTACATATTACTGGTGGGACGCATTGTCGTGAACTATACACGTGCCTAATTGGTTGAGACTCGGGGATTTCCGAATGGAAGCTAACTAAAAACTAATTCCTTCCATACGAGCGGGCGCGTGTTCTTGCCCCTCGTTCTCTCGAGGCCGTGGACATCTTCGGAGAAGCGCCGGATATAGAGGCGCCACCGTCAATTAACATCGGCGCAAACATAACGTCGTCCGACTTCTGGGTACCGACACCATCGTTCCGTCAAGGGAACTCTCGCGTCCACCGGGCAAACCATTGTGCAAACGTATCCCAACACTCGTCCAGTCGCGACAGACGTTTCAAGATCAATTTCGCGCAGTCAAGGGTCTGTGTTAAATTTAGTATTTTGCTCGCTTTCCCCGGACACCTTACTTTTTCATTCTATACATTTCCAGTTTCAATTATTAGTCGTTTTCCTCACCTTTCTGTTTGTAACCGAATATCAAATCGATCCACTGATGAAGTTGGCAGGAGACGAACTCGGATTCAAGAGCCTGAAAAATAATGAGATAAATAAAAACCTCGAAGAGTTTTTGGTAATGATTAATGTCACCGGCGTGGTTTAAATCTCAAGCTAGCGGCAATAAATCACTTAAAAAAAACAGAAGGTTAACGGCCTGTTTAATTTTCTGCCGGTGCACAGAATGTAATTTGGTTTTGCCAGCTAGTAAAGCTTTTGAACACTGGAGCCATTTAACGATGTCTGTCATTTTCTAGAGTAATTATTCCAGACATTTAGAATTCAAAGAGAAACGTTAAACAATATACCCTTCGTGACGAGATTTTTCATAACGTACCATTCTATTAATTCTGATAAATTCCTCGGGCGAAGAAGCCCAGGGAGGCAATTCTACATCCCCTACGGTGCTACCGTCTTCTTGCCTGCCAAGTCTGTAGCGATTGCTGTTTACCAGCATTTCCGGTAGGAAGAAAAATTCTGGAATGAGTTCCTATAAGGGAGAAAATCATCATTTATAGCTCTCGAATTCGTGCGAACCAGTTCAAACTTTCACTTTTAAATTTTGTAAGATAGCCATATTAAAAGTACCGTGATTTAATTATCGGGAACGAACCTTTACATCGGAAGTGTCACGTTGACAGCTCTTCCAGGAAAGAGCAACGGAGGAGAAGAGTCTGTTGGGATGATCAAATTTGCCACCTTGAAGGGCTAAGAACATAGTGGTCATCGGTTCCTACAAAATTACAAGACAATCATGAAAAAAAAAAATAACAATATATAGGAACTGACAATAGAGCACAAAGTACTCGTAAGTGCAACGATGCGAGCGTCGAGAGGCTGAAACGATGGGTGCCATTTAAAGGGCGCGCGTTGAAACTGGGTAAAGGCGGCATCTCTTTAAACCCGCCACTTAGAGACACTTTATAGGAGGCACTTTGTCCTCGGGTTTCAGTCACAGGGGCTCTTTCATCGTCACTGGATCATTCGTCGAAGTGACGAAGCGACGAATGCCGACAAATAGCCACCCGTGATCGCTACACCCTCTACAAAGTGGCATTTGGGTTTATATTCTCTTTCATCCGCGTCTTGCATCTACAGGGGGACTTTATTTCTGTCCTTTGAGAAAAAAAGACTGCTATCGTATCTCCGTCCATTTTCTTTGTATAATTTTTAAATGATTTTTCTTTCATTTCATGCAATGGAAAAAATGTCCAATTACCCTCCCAAAACTGCAATCGTAATTATCGATCCATACTCTTGCTTAAGTTTCCGTAACGAGATTTTTTTCGCCGGTTTCTTGTTACTTGGAAGTATTTAATGAAGTGGGCGGGAATCTTTGACGCTCGGAGGCGTTCCGAGGGGCCTTGAATTAGTGTAAACTCCCTAGTAAACGTACCCTCTTAAAATTTACGGGCTGTAAACGATATTCTGGACCGCTCGAGAAAGCAGCAAGGAAAAGCTTAAACATTTACCGACATTTTGGAAGCGTTTACACGACTTTCTAGAGATTCGGCCGAAACGTCTTGAAATATCGTTCCATTAGATGTCAACGATAAAGATATTTCCGTTAATCCGCAACCCTGGTTGCTAATTGATATACTCGACAATGCAATTTAGACACGATCCGTAACATGAGATACTTGCCACGCGAATTAGCCAATTGAGAACGAAGGCTGCGGTTGAATAGTGGGTACCATAGTGAAACGGAGGTATGCTATCGTGCTCCCAGCTCTGAAAACGTTCCTCGAAGTACGCTCGCCTGCTGGGATTCAGTGCACCGATTGGCTGCAAGAAGAAAATTACACGATTTTAAATCCAAGTCCGAACCACAAATGAAAATTAAGTAAGTACCTTAGACAGATCCCTATAATTGCTGGGTAAACTGAGATCCAGTTCTTTGGTTTCATAATTGGTGAGTACCCACGGAAATACGGGGTACTGGTTCAAGTCGTTGTACGTTCGGCCTGAAACAATTCACAAACTCGCATGAATTACTTTTTAAAAGGAGATGCAGCGATTTCCCTTCGAGATAGAAGAGATGCATGTTAAAAAAAAGAGAGAAGTTCGAATTTCTTTATCTCACGGTACATTGGCGGTCATGAACGGCTTACAAGTGTATACGGCGGCAAGTTTAAATCCACGAAATGCTGGGCGGGTACGAGCTGTAATATCTCATTCAAAATTCTACCTTGCAGCTAGTTCTCGGATCGATGCCATCTTTAGGGGCTCTTCTTCTTAACGGTAATATTAATGTTACGTAACCATGTTTGGTGGGTTATTATTGTTCAAGAGTGATGTCTCTCGGAATTTTCAGAGAGTAGCAGAGGGAATCCTTGCCTTGGATTTTACATCGAGCAACCAGGAGATAGTCGGATACACTTTGAAGTCTCAACCCGAAGAAACGAGAGAAGGAGCTGGCGACAAGACTGGACAATTTTCTAATATTCTTTTAAACGCGCTCGACAACTTATGCACTTGCGGTACCTGATGTATTTAACTGTAAAATAATTAATGTAGTAATATAAAATAAAGCAACTTATTGAACAATAACAATGAGTACGTCTAATTAAACGAGCATTCCTAGCGAATCCTATAATCGCCTATTCCTGACCTTCCGTTCTGAACACCGAGTTTCGTGCCACCTCTTCGGTTGTCCTATGATCCTGTTAGAAATCGGAAATTTCAACCCCTAAAATTTTTGCCCGGGAGAAGCTCCGTGCCACCTCCTCGGTTATCCTATGTTCCTGTTACAAATCGNCGGAGCTTCTCCCGGGCAAAAATTTTAGGGGTTGAAATTTCCGATTTCTAACAGGATCATAGGACAACCGAAGAGGTGGCACGAAACTCGGTGTTCAGAACGAAAGGTCAGGAATAGACGATTATAGGATTCGCTAGGAATGCTCGTTTAATTAGACGTACTCATTGTTATTGTTCAATAAGTTGCTTTATTTTACATTACTACATTAATTATTTTACAGTTAAATACATCAAGCACCGTAAGTGCATAAGTTGTCGAGCGCGTTTAAAAGAATATTAGAAAATTGTCCAGTCTTGTCGTCAGCTCCTTCTCTCGTTTCTTCGGGTTGAGACTTCAAAGTGTATCCGACCATCTCCTGGTTGCGCGATGTAAAATTCAAGGCAAGGATTCCCTCTGCTACTCTCTGGAAATTTCGTGAGACGTCACTCTTCAACAATAGTAGCCCACCAAACACGGTTACTTATCAATAATGTAACAATTGCATAACCTTTGTAACGGTGCTATCTCCTAAAGTTGGCACCGATCCGCAAAAGCTGCAAGCTAGAATTTTGAATGATATAATCAGCTGGTACCCGCTCGTACCCGTCCAGGCTTCTCGTGGGTTTAAACTTGTCACTCCTGCGGTACGTTACCACCGTGCCACGTACGCGATAATGCCGTTCATGACCGTCAGCGATTGGCGCACGTAGTCCCACGCTCGACCGCCGCCAGATCTCGAATCTCGATTCTAGATCGCACGTCGCAACGGTCGATCCCTCGGGGTATCGCGGTGACAGTCTTGCCGACGTGCTTTAATTAGCGGCAACGAAATAAAAGGAGAAATCCGAGCTGCCGTCACTAATGTATCTTGAATGGGATTTCAGGGAGCGGGAGCGAAAGTGAGACCTCGGGAGTGACAATTTCAGGAGCGATTAGGCGTCGCGCTTTGAGTTATGCGAGTACTAAACGGAGCACCGCGCCCCATTGAGCTCGGACGAGTTTACGTAAAAATAGCCATCTAACCTCGCTCTCGCGCTCCGACTTCGCGGACAACGAGGGGTGGAAATAGCTTAAGGCGGCCCGAAAGTGGCGTCTAAGGAGTCGATAGCGTGGGCTGGCCGTAGGGCGGCAGAAACGTCGCGGATCGAAGACCGGACGGAGAGCCACGTCCGATGGGCCAAAGCGGAGGAATTAACCTCGGGAGTTTAGACGAGGCTTTATGGAAGTACGTTCGGCGAGATGTGGGAATCCGGCGGTAGAGCGCTTCCGACGTGGCTCCTTATGAACGTATGATCTCGTCGCGAGCACTTTGGCGAAAGCGGAGGGAAATTAATCGGCCCTCGTGTCTCCGCGATTTGCGATGTTTAGCACGGGTGTCCTCGCATTCTATTAACGGTTATGCATCTCCCGTTACGTTAAGCGTTACCGACCGCAAACATCTAGTAGATCCACCGGGAATCGCGTTGGCACTCGATCATGGCACGAGCAACGAAGCCGGAATACCCGCGACAACTTGCCATAAAACGGACCTTCAGATATTTCGACTCCACGGAAAAATGTCCGTCCAGCTTCCGGGTCCTTAGGAAGTCCGGAGGGACGCATCCCCTTTCCTGCCCGGCTCGAAGGAACGTACGTTCAGCGGGGATCCGAGGAGAAATCGAGATCGGCTATCGGGTTTTTTGCGAGTCGCCGATCGTGAATCGCGGCGGCCTCGGAAGAGTCGATATCGCCGACAGAGAGTAGCGCCGCGGCGCTGCTCGCGCACAATGTGCCGTAAATCATCTCGCTACCCGACGGACGGCGGCGGTAAATAATAGTAAGGCCGCGTTGTGCATCAAAGTGATTATTAATGGGAGCGTCGGCGTGAGCGAGCGTCCCGAGAGCGCGGCCCGACAGCGGAATGCCCGCGACACGTGCACTTCACCTTCTTGGTACCCCCTTTTTCTCGGCCGATACCGATCCTGCCCGGGCGGAGCCATTCGTCCCCGCCGGTAACCGAATCCGCGGATTAACTCTGCATCTTCCCTAACGAATGACCGGCCGCGGTCCTTCGAGGATTCACCGGACTCGTTTTCTTCCGCTCCTTCGACGTCGTTTCGAGGGAAGATCCGAAATCCTCGCGAACGTCTTCATCCGAAGCTGGTCCATTGTCCCGGACGAAACGGACCTTCGGCAGACGCGCAAAGTACTAAAGGCCGGGGCTGGTAGTTCCTTACGGCCAACGGCGAGCCCGACATGCGGGCTATCATATTTACATCGGATTTACTGTCATTAATTTTTAATAAACCGATACCGGGCAAATAAACACGGCGAATTGCATGGCGAATTGCATGCGGGAGCGCAGCGGGCGGACCGGTTCGCGTCGACCGGCTCGAGAGGTTAGGTGCGCCCGAGCCGACTGCGCCTCTACCTCCGAGGTATTTATTTGCGCAATTAATATATAACGCTCATAAATACCACGTGCCCTGGGGGTCCACGCCAGTCCGAAATCCAAATAATTATACGTCCGCGTTCATCGGCGTCGTTGAAAGGCTCGCCGAAGCGCCGGGGCCTCGAAAAAACCCGCCGATCGCGACGTTAACTAATTCTAGCTATCGCTTTTCAATTACGTGCGGGGCCGAAAATGCCCAGGTAGGAGAAAAGTTTCGCGTCCCCTTATGGGGGAACGAACGGGGTACGTGTCCTCCTTCGGACCGCAGCGATCGGCGGTCGCTACGAAAAAGGAGCGTCCGCGCTTCGTCGGGTCGAGTTTCATGTTTTGCAGGAAAGCGGGAGGGAGAAGCCGATATTAAACCGAGGAGAAACAAAGAGCGATTCCCCGGGGATGGCGGGTCCCCAGGGAGAGGATTACCAGGAGGGCCGACGGACTAGGGATTACCCGTCCAGGGTGGGCACACGGAACAGAGGGCTGATTGAGAACATCCCTAATACGGCTCGACAGACTCCATCCGCCCGTGTGCGGCCATAAAAAGCCCGGTTTCTCTCTAATGTTCTTCTAAACCAACCGACGGTTCGCCGATCGGCAACCGCTACTTTCGTTCGTCTCCACGTTCCTCTCGAACGCGGTGGATGATCTCTTCGGGATAAACGACTAAATTGAATTCCACGTTTCTAAAACTCACCGGCGATGGTGTTCAGGAACATCAGATACTCGAAATTGGAGATCTCTCGTCGTTGCCACTTTTGAGTCATATTGGAGCTTCTCATGAGTTGGCGCGGAGACATCATCGATGCCCTCCTGCAAAACGTCATAATATTCCGAGGCCGTTGCGTTGGTATCCATCGCTTCGATCATCCGAGTTGAAAGGCCGGCGTTAAGAGTGCCGCCAATTATTCCATCTCCTGGATCGACCGATCGATGCGAGTAAAAACGAGCGCATCGGTCTCGGCGCGCGTCCATGAATCAACGTGCAGACTTCGAGCCCGTTTACATCGCGGCTAGACGTGTCATTTTAATTATCCAGGTCCGAGTCGAGAGCGCGACAATTACGCGCACCCTCGCGCCATAAATATCTCTTAGAAGGGCGCAATTGCAGTTTCCGCGACCCAAAAGCGACCGCCAGTCCGCTTTGATATTCCCTGGCAATTACGAGTCCGATTCGAGCAGGTTATTGGATCAAGACGCAAGGTGCACTTTGCCATTCGCGCCGTAAATTTCGGCGGCGCTTTAGGAACCGAGAAAGAACTCTGATTTAGAATTTATACGGGAAGCTTTTAATGGGCGTCCTCGGAAGAGAGAACGGGTGCGCGAGCGATGACGACCGGATGTATAAATACCGGCCACGAAAAAACGGCGCGTACCTCAAAGTACCAGAAGAGGGAGAGGATGATTAACAAGCATTCGGAACGCTCCCAAATTGGAAATCTCTAAATTTAATGGCGGCTAATGGAATTAAAGAAACGAAAGTCGGCGTTTCCATTAACGCGGAGCCGATACGCGGAGTCGATGGAACCGCTAATAAAATTGCCATTTCTTATCGATAACGTTTCACACTGGAAACGACGTCTTCCCCGGGAAGGATTATTTTCTACGAGTCTCGAAGACGCCATCGCGAGTTGCAAGGGTGTTCGCGACCAGAAGGGATGGTCAAGGAATCGGGTATTTTTGTCGAGGCAGGAATCTCTCTCGGATCGGACGTCCAGGTCGGCCGGTATATTTATGGCCGTCGTATCTCTCGCCGACCATACGCGGGAGATCGTTTAATGGATGGGCCAAAGAGTGGAGACGCGAACCTGTGTTCTCGCCGCTCCAGCGGAATATGCCTTAAGGAGGTCCGCCTATCCCTGTACCTTTGGACGCGGATAGGTTGCGGACAGGTTGCGGACGAGTCGCGGACGAATCGCGGAAAGGAAGGGCTCCGAGTCGGCCGAAACGGACAAAGAAACGAAGGAATGCCACGAGCGTGTTTCCCCTCGGAGACGGGGACTCTCGAGGAGGAACATCCTCGCCTTGGAGGGCACCCTCCGTTGTTTGCAAATGCGTCGACACGCCACGAAATCCGCGCTTTCGGTACCACCGAGACCGTTCGCCCTTTGGGCTTGAGTTGATTCGGGCAGAGAGCCTTAGTTAAATCTCGACGTCTAGGATAGGCGCTACTCCAAGGCGCCCGAGTCGTTGCTCCTTCCCATCCGCGAGCATCGATGTCACCCGATCGAACCTACCTGGTTTGCGGAATTCCGTACTTGATTCCAACTCCAACGCGCGGTAACGCCTTGATGACTTTCTTGACGGTGGCTTGATCCGGGAAAGCGAACAGGATCGAAGCTGCGAACAAATAAGAGGCACCTTTCACATAGTCGTTTCCCGCCGTCTCGTCGGTAAACGAGAAAACCTTGTACATTTTCCGACCGTTCGAGGGGTATCCCGGGAGGTCCTCGTATATAAAGTCGTTCCCGAATTGGGGGGTTTCAGGGAAATCATCGGAGGTCCTTCGGGAGCCCGGAATGGACGCCGGTTAATCATGGCGGGGGATAGCGTGTAAGAACGCGGTAACCATAACTACCATGGCTCGGAGCTTGTCGAGTCATTTCTGCCGAGATATCGTAGCTAGTCCCAGGATTTACCAAGGCAGGAGCACTCTTCTCGTTTTATTCCCCCTCCCCTTATTCGATGCTCTTTCCCTCTTCCGCGCGTTTTCGTCCCGCTAACGAACGGCGGGTTTCTGGTGATTTTTTAATAAGCGGGACGAGGGATGGCATTCCTGCGGTAACGCTTCACGACGCGTTCAAAGTCGGAATCAGATAAGAATCCGAGGACGCCCAGAATTTATCGGCGGTCCAAGGTATCATTGACATGGCGAGCCGGGCCGCGTGTATAAGTAACTATCCTATTTATTATACGGTCCCAGGAACGCGCCGGTTCGCTTCGCCCATTTCTCGATGAGGTCGCACACGAAACTAGGGGACTTGGCGCATACGTGGGAACGGAGGCGTCTCGTCTCGACCTAGCAAAGTATCGGCACCGAGGCGTCGCCGCTGGCTCGGAAAAAATACCGCCGTGGAGCGATATTTCGATAAATCTCAGGGCCGAGTTCTCGGGACCCCTTTTATCGGAGAGCATCTCGATCCACGGTGGTTGGACATAAATTACGGTCGCGACGACAGGCTCGATTATCGCAAAGGACGAATTTTAAATAGGGGACTCGTGGCTCGTCGCGACTCCAAAATGGCGTCCGGGCTCCAACGGAAAGAACCGCGTCCCCGGGTCGTTCGGTTTAATTAATAAATATGCCGATCCGTCAACGAGGGGCCGGAGTGACGAAACCGCAGCTGCAGGTGTCGCGAGGATGGAATAATAAATCGGGACGAGAAAAAGACATACCGTAACGCTTGGCAGATATTTATTGGATAAAAAGCGGCGGGGTCGCACACCTCCGAGCGCGCTCCGGATTCCGCGGCCACCTCGGCTCGGATGGCCTCGCGTCAAATAACGCAGAACGGCCCGCGAGTCGCAAGAAATCGAATACTTTTCAATTCCGCCGAAGCCGAGAGGGAAGAAAGGGCCGGCCCGAGATTCTTCCCCTCGCTCCCGTTTCAACGTACCGAAGCGTCTCCAACTCGCGCTCGTCGATCGAATAAATTGAATCATTACCTGCACTCGAGTTTAACCGATTTTCAGCCAGGGCGACCGATTATCGGACCGTTTGAAATATGGAGGCCCGGGACATTTCGATGTTCGCGAAAAAAATGAAATTCCAAACGATCCGCAATTACTCCGGAGATTTATTTCCCTGGGCATTTAAATTAAAAAAGGTGGGGATCGTACTTACTCCTGCTCGCCAGGAAAATCTCGATGGCCACATTCTGCAGAAGGTACCGTCTCGAGAAAATGGCGCGGACCTCCGAAAAGTACCATTTACCGTGCAAGTGGTCGCAGTACTTCAACACCTGAAACATAAATGAAGCGTTTCCATTATCGGAGGCCCAGAGGAAAGTAGAAGAGGAGAAACGCGAGCGAAAGGAGCGAAAGACGCGGTAGCTGCGATTTAATCCCCATTTTGTCGCGGGGCCCCGTCGACCGAAACGGGCCCGAGCGGGCCGCCCCTGGCCGGTCGGGGCCGGTCGGGGCCGGTCGGGGCCGGCGTAGGAAAGTGCACATAACCTGGATGCAACCGAGGGCGATGCAATATAGTCGAGTCGGAGTGCCGGCCGCGCAAGATGGCCGTCGCGGTGGGAGGAGCCTCCCGCTGAGTCGGGAATCGATCCCAGGACTCGGACTTGCGCCGCGACGCCGAGAGAGGGCCGCCATTCGCGGAGGGGGACGACACCCTAATTTACCGTCCCGTCTCTAACGAGCCTCTCGATTTTTACCGCTTAATGAGAATATATTAAGCGACGACGAATCGAGGTGGCCGGCAAAGTCGCGCCTGGATTAAGGGACGAAAAAAATCCAAAATTTCCCCACTAGCCGTGGCTACTTTCGAATGCACGGCGAAAATCAATTTGGGGATACGAGCCGCGGGGATCACCTCGGAGAGGCGAAATTGGACGTTCGTCAAAAAATCCGGATTTTAATGGCACGGTATTCCAAGTAATTACGCGAACATGGGAATTTCCCGCAGGTTGGGGGCAAACGTGAAAAATCGCCCCGAGTATACAATTTGTGTACACCGTAATGGAGAAAACGGATTACGGCGACGGGGCCCGGGATCAAGGGTGAGTCGAATAAGGGCGGATTGGAAACCCGAGCTACGAGCTCCGACAAAGCCGCCCCACGAGGTCCCATCTCCCCCTTTACAAATACTGCAAGGTTTGATAAGGGCTGGACCGTGCTATGGAATCCATTATTAAAGGACCCGCAAAATTCGCGCCGATAGATCACGTAAACTATTTCGCGCCCCTCTCGACTGGTTAAGACAAAACTCGCAGCCGAACGCGACGTTTCCCGCGAACGAGTATCGCCCGATTCGCAAAGTGGGAGGCAGCGGAGTCGAAGTCGGTCCCGTCTAAATCCACGTCGCTCCGGGCTGGGACCACGTCCGCGGGAGGGTCTTAACGCCGTTGGACTTCCTTCCATAATGCACCCGCCTGGGCGTCCAACATAATTTTCTCTCAACGGAATAATTTCGGAGGTCCCGACTTACGGAAGCCCGACGTGGTTCCCCAAGAGCCGAGGACCACCCGCGAACGCCTCGTGTTTCGTTTCCGCGTATCGGGAGGTCCGCGATTAGCGTCCACCTAATGCCCTATTTATGTCGCCGTTTAGCCCAAGTTCCGCAACGACGAAGTAACCCTCCTCCCCCGTTATCTAAACGGTAGCCGGACAAAACGTGTCAAAACAATGCTCCGTTGACCCCTTGCCGTGCCGCGGCACCGATGGCAGCCCTCGATATGAAAAATGACGAAAAATTATAAACAATGAAAAATTGTATCGAAAATGTAATCACCGTGAAAATTCGGTGTTTCCAAACCCACGTACCAGACCCACGGACAAATGAGCAACGAATCGTCCACACCACCCGGGGATGGCCGCGTGTGTCGCGTATCGGTGCGTCAAGTGGTCCGCGATTAGTGCTCCCCGAGTGCGGCACTCGTCTCACCACTCCAACCGGGGCTGGGCAACAATGGGCCGAGAGATGTAACGACATGTGTCGCGTTCACAGGACCCCTCCACCCTCGGGTTGCGCAACCCCGGCGGGTCGTCGTCGGTGTTGGTCGTGCACGTGAAAGGCACACGCGAGGAGGAGAGCCACCACTTAGCAGCCTGACGGCGGTATACAACAAACGGATTAAGCGTCGAACAACAATGGATGGTCCCACCAGGACCGCGTTACGTGCACCCCTCGGGGAGCCCCCTTTCCCGAAGTGCTCTGGAGAGCTTTCTTCGTTTTCGCTCGCCTTTTCTTTACAAAATCTCGAACGAACGTTTCTTTTCCGATCGAGATCTCGGACCAGGGTCTAGGTAATTATTTGCTGCCAATTTATTCGCGTTCCCGCAAGTACCTCCGTTTCTAGGTAGAGGCCTAATTGCCGCGTAAAGGTCTGGTATATTTTATAACGAGAGATGGTCAGGAAATATCTTTCAAGGACTCCCCGTGTTACCCAAAACGAACGGTGCCGTGACAATGCGCTATACCGGCTCCGCTCTGAAATTACAATCCGAGCGGGCGTTTTCGGCCACGTAGATGCGGTGGGACGATGAACGAATCGGCCCCTCTACCCTGTCGATGAATTATGTCGATCACGTTGCGCGTTCTCATACCTTTATTACCGCACCTCCCCCGAGACGCCGCGACGCATCTTTCCCCGCATTAAATGGAACAATGGAAATTCTGACGGGAGAAAAATCTATCCCGATAATTTGTCCAAGTACCCGGCTCGGATGTACGCGATTTCCAAACCGCGTGACCGCATTATCGTCCGTGTATCGAGAGGGCGATACCTTAGAACACGCATCGGGTTCATTTTTTCCCGAGGGTAACTTTATACCGGCGATCGAAAGAAACCCGTCGCCATACATGTAAAGTCGGCTTTTTACGCCCGCAACGGGGTCGTAAATCCTTCGCCGTTGTAACCGGAGCCCCGGACTCGATATGTCGTAAATAAGCAGGCATTCCTATTTAATTAACCCGTGCCTACTGTTTCCCCAATTGCCCGTAAAACACGAAATAAGGCGACCGGTTTCCGGCGGCAGATGGAGGAAGACCGGGTGTCGCCGACGTTCGACTTCTGGCCAGCTTAGTAGACTAGACCCTAAATAGTTTCGGGATTAGGTGGAGTTTAAAGAACGCTAAGTCCGATACCCGACTTCGGAAGTGCGTAAACATTTTCGAGCCCGATCCCGTCCCGTTGCCGCTCGGAAAACCTTCGCCAGAAGACGGGTTTATTGCCCGGATTTATCTCGGCTTACATCTCGCCAGACATCGGAGACTTTTGTCATGAACTCCTCGTTTTACTTTCAAGACGCGTCATACGTTCCGCCCGAAATTACAGTTTCCCTCTTCAGCGGATTTCCCTCGGTGCGTCCTATCAAAGGGCCGCGATCGCGACTGCCGTGCCAAAATCGAGATTCACGACGTACCTTTTGGTCGGACGGAGTCGGCGCGGGGCGATCCAAGATGGCAGCCGGGGGCTCCTTTTAGCGGACTCGGCCGTGTCGGGCAAACTGCCGCCTTTGCCGGCTGCCGCGGCTCCGGGACTGAGCCCGGGATTATTTGGGATTATGCGAGGATGTTCATTCGAGCTGATTTACAAGGCCGACTTGCGTCGTTTCTGGCTCGGGTGGCCAACGGCACGTCGTTTGACGTTGCACAATAATAACGCTCCCTCCCGGAAAGAGACGAGGGCCCTCGAAAATGTTTGCCAAACGCGTCTATTGCCCGGAACTGCTCTTTTCGATGGGCTGGACGACCCGCTAATGGAGATTAGGCTCTCGTTGCCGAAAACGGACCGCTACCTCGACAATGGCGTCCGCCGAGAGGCTTCGGGGAAACTCGGGTCGAAAAGGAACGGATTTCTCCGCGTAGGAAGCGAACCGACGAATTCGGGAAAAACGATTGGGTCGCGTCCTCTCGAAGGGACAGCCGCGGGAAGAGGAGACGAAGTCATTGCCCGGAATTGGCGGCACCCCTGGACGGGTGTACAAATAATTCCGAGGCTAAACGAATTAAGTCAAGATGGGATGATGAAAGCGACATTAGGGCGGAAGGAGAGCGACGTAATGCGAGGGTCGGCACACCGGAGTGTTTGACCCCTCGGAGAGGAGGCTCGGGGGCGCGTGCTTCGCTCATGAATCAAGTCGCATTAGAGAGCCGGGCTGCGAAGCCATGGGCTACCGATCCGCCGCTCCAACTTGGAGTAGATTGGATTTCCGAGCTTTATTCAATTATCCGTGAACGACGAGCCCTCGTCCCGGTCTCCCGCTGGAAATAAATCCGGACGGGGAGACTCGACTCGGGATTCGGACCTCGAAGTCTCGAATCGTTGCAAAACGTGACGATTCGGACGCCGCTTCCGCGACCGAGAGGAGATAACGAAAGAAAGTCAGGTATTCGTGGGCTATTTCCGGCGAATCCCGGGAGGTACACCTGTCTCCGGTCGTCACGTAAGGAAATAAAAACACGGGTTAGCGTCTCGATGCACGCGCGAGTGTCAGGAGGTACCCGAAGGTACCCGAAGGTACCCGAAGGTACCCGAAGGTACCCCGAGGTACGCCGGGGCGCAACCTCGGGGCGAGGACGCGAATCGCCTTCTGCTTCTTATGCGAACGTCGAATATTCAAATGACCTCTTCGCCCGGAGTTATTGGCTTTGGACGCGTGCACGGCATACGCGTTTGCCAGGACCTGGCACCGGCAACGAGCGACGTCCCTTAATAAACGTCCAGCGGAACCCGTACCTTACGCTTGATTCGCCGAGGATAAATGGCATCCTCCGCGCGACGTCTTTTCCGCGAAATCTGAGATCTCCCCTTGGGAATTCTGCCCTCGCTGGAGCGAGTTTGCTCGCGACCTCTCTCGAGGAAGCGGCGAAACGAGGTCGGTCGCCGAATTCGGAGGAACGCGTTTTTGTTTCCCCACTTTGGGGAAAAATTCAAGACGACTTTAGGATTTGAACCTCGGTGTCGTAGGATTTTGTCCTCGCGATGCATACGTTTTGAGTGAAGCGGTTTTTTTTCGATGCCCTTTTGAAATGCCACTTTGATAGGGAAACGCGTCGAGGGGTTGCGGCGCAACGTCACGAGTTTCTTCCCATTGTCTCCGATAAAGAATCCGGAGCGGCTCGCCTCCCAAGGGCCGAGTCGGGTCTCGACGGAGTGCGGGTCCGCGACGCCCGCGTCGGCGCGGAACGGGCGACGGAGGCGGGGCCTGGCCGCGCAAACTCCACGTGACCGCGCCGCCGGATGGGCGTGACCCGGCCGGTCGCACAACGTCAGGGTCCGTCGCGGGAGCCGGTGGTCAGGTGTGCGGTGCGCGGCCCGGCGGACATTCCGGAGGTACGGGAAAAAAGCGGGAATTTCGAGCCCGGCCCTTTTTCCGTCCGCCCGATCGGACCCTGGCTCACGAATCGCGGGAATAAAATGGTTTTCCGTCTCTTCGAATCCGACCCCCGCTTCGGCGCGATTTCGGGATTTTTTCGTCGGTAGAGGTCGGAGGGGGACAGGACGGACCCGATGGGGGTCGGTCGTCGAGGATCGAAGAGGTGAACCCGCGGAAGCAGGTCCTTAACGAGGGTGGACGTCGAGGCCGCCAAAATGCTGGCCCCGCAGGACATGATGGCCGTCCAGTCGAAGATGCTTTACCAGATTAACAAATACTACGGGGAGCGCGTGCAAGTTAGGAAGGGACAGGTGCAGAAGACCATCCGAGAGGTGTGCAAGGTGGTGCAGGACGTCCTGAAGGAGGTGGAGGTCCAGGAGCCTCGGTTCATCTCGTCCCTGACCGAGTGCAACGGGCGCTACGAGGGGCTGGAGGTGGTGTCGCCCGGGGAGTTCGAGGTGGTCCTCTATCTGAACCAGATGGGGGTCTTCAACTTCGTGGACGACGGGACTCTTCCGGGGTGCGCGGTCCTCAAGCTGAGCGACGGTCGAAAGAGGTCCATGTCCCTGTGGGTCGAGTTCATCACGGCTTCCGGCTACCTCTCGGCGAGGAAGATCCGCTCCAGGTTCCAGACCCTGGTCGCGCAGGCCTGCGAGAAATGCGCGTACAGGGACTCCGTCAAGATGATCGCGGACACCACCGAGGTCAAGCTCAGGATCCGGGAACGCTACGTCGTGCAGATCACTCCTGCCTTCAAGTGTTCCGGGGTCTGGCCGAGATCGGCCGCCCACTGGCCCATTCCGCACATCCCCTGGCCGCATCCCAACCTGGTGGCGGAGGTCAAAACCGAGGGTTTCGACCTCCTGTCGAAGGAGAGCGTCGCTCTGCAGGGCAAACAGTCGGCCATGGAGGGCGACGCTTGGGTCTTGTCGTTCACCGAGGCCGAGACCAGGCTCCTTCAGGGTGGATGTCGCCGGCGCTGTCTGAGCATCCTCAAGACCCTCAGGGACCGGCACCTCGATCTTCCGGGAAATCCCGTCACGAGCTACCACGCCAAGACCCTCTTGCTCTACGAGTGCGAGAAGCACCCTCTGGAGACCGAGTGGGACGAAGGGTGCCTCGCGGATCGCATCAACGGCATCTTCCTGCAGCTCATATCTTGCCTTCAGTGCAGAAGGTGTCCGCACTACTTCTTGCCCAGTTTGGACCTCTTCAAGGGCAAGTCGCCCAGCGGCTTGGAGAACGCCGCCAAACAGGTCTGGAGACTCACGAGGGAGCTCTTGACCAACAGTCGCGCCCTGGAGAAACTCTAGCACTTAGCACCGGTCGCGACAGAATTTCGGATCGGTGGGACTCTCCCTGTCCCCGGATCGCGAAAAGTGGAACCCCCGAAATTCTTGCCACTAGCGGTTCGAGTCCTTTAGCGGAGGGCTATTTGACTCTCCGCGAAAGCCTCGATTATTGCCTAGTTAATTACTTTGGTACCTATTAGTGCCCAGTTTATTGGAACGCAATGTGATTTGTTAATCTTATCGACGTATTTATGATCGGCTAGCGACGACCCTGGCACGATTACGTATCGTTACGTGTATATACTTTCGTCCATGTTTTATTTAAACGATATTTATTTTATATCGAGATCTCCATTCGATGGATCGCGATATGTAAATAATAGACTTCTCTAGAGGAAATTTTATTGAAAGAAATGGAGAGGCGTTCTCGGATTTGGAATTCGTTACCGTCGCGACGATACTTTTCGGGGCAACAATCTAGAAATCACGGTCAGCTTTGCTCGTTTAGTCGGCAAACGAATCGATTGCGTTAAATCGCCGGAACCATGTCCCGTCCCTCTGTCGCGAAATCGCGTCTCGTCCCCGTCACTGCGAGCGGATTTATTTAACGGTTATTTAATAGGAACGATAATAAATTCTATTCCGAAAGGAAAAATTTCCCCCGAATTACTTACGTTATTATACCGGAAGATGCATAGTTAAGTTTTAGTAATTGTTGTAAATTTATAAGATGTTATTTTCCCGAACAATCGAATAGACTAAGGTTACGTTCCAATTTCGAGTTCCGGACCAATCGTCCCCCCGAAGATATTCCGTTTAGCCAGGATATATCTTTCCGTCGTTTTGGACAATTACTTATTACTTTTATGTAAGTCATTAAATACTTGAACGGAACGTCATAATAAGCACCCAATATCGCATAGATCATGTAACGAACAATAAATAACGATCGTTTTATCTTCGGTACCCAACGACGCTTATAATTCATCCAGTTAAGTGAAAAATCGAATGCGCGAAATTACCTTCGAGCCTTCCCCGTGAAAATGCCTCCAGACGGGACGATCATCGTCGATCCCGTGCAAAATAATAAACGAGACGCGGAGTCAACTTTGGATCGACGTTTCGGCCGTTTGGCGACTCCCAACGAGGATCCCGATCGAATGGTTACATTGCTACCGGTTTCCGACGATCGTATCGAACCACCGTCCTCGGCCGTTTCCCACCGATCGGCATCGATACGTTTGAAATCTCTTTTTACTTTCGATCGACGAATCGAATACATAAGATTCATCCTCCGGGACAATTCTTAAGGGGCGACGACGTTTCGGTTTTCTATATTTACGACGATATTTAGTCACGGACCGGCCTCCCCAATTTAACTGAAACTTCAGTTTCTGTTCCGCGCGTAGTAAGTAGAAATTTACAACATCGCGGACGAGATAACCTCGCCTTTTACGACCCACTCCAACGAGCACTTCATTCCGCTTTAGCGACGGATTCGACCCTCCCCGATCGCGATCGAATTCCCGAATCACCGACTACATGTATTTTATACGAAATACTGTATGGAGTATTCTTCCCCATAAAATGGTAGAGGAGAAACCTCGTAGAGTCGGCGGATACGTTACAAATGTCCCGAGAACGAACCTGGAGTCCGAGTCGTCATCGGAATCATCGAGGACGAGAGCGGGCCGGATCGTTGCATAATTCACAGGGTGGGCAGGGAGGGCAGGGAGGGCAGGGAGGGCAGAGAGGACAGGAAGGGCAGGGGCTCGGCGATGGGCGGCGCCGATCGATGCAGGCGGCAGGCAACGGGGGGAGACGACCGTCGCCGATTGGCGCGCGCCCGGGCGCCGCGGCGCCGCGGCGTCGCCACGCCGCGCCGCGCGGAGGTGGGCGGGTGGAGGCGCCGTCGCGTCCCGGCGCAGTCGGCGATCCGCTTCGGCCCCGCGACGCAGCCCGTATCTCGCCGAGCCGCGCGGCATCGCAGTCTCCCGACTCCGGTCCAGATCCGACCGCGACCCGCGCGAGTTGGACTCCGAGGATGCGGCGGGCGGGTTGAAAACGTCGCGCGCGGACTCGGCGAAGAGGGAAATGGCGGGACCGGAGATTCTGGGCTGACGCGCGACGCGCGACTCGAGGACCAGGACCGCCAGGATGTTGGTCCCGGCAGAGATGCTGGCGGTCCAATCCAAGATGGTCTACCAGATCAACAAGTACTTCGGGGAGCGGGTGATGACCCGCAAGAGCCAGGTGGCCAAGACCATCCAGGAGGTGTGCAGGGTGGTGCAGGACGTCTTGAAGGAGGTGGAGGCTCAGGAGCCCAGGTTCATCTCGTCCCTGACGGACTACAACGGGCGCTTCGACGGACTCGACGTCATCTCCCCGACGGAGTTCGAGATCGTGATTTACCTGAACCAAATGGGGGTCCTCAACTTCGTGGACGACGGGACTCTCCCGGGGTGCGCGGTCCTCAAGCTGAGCGACGGTCGGAAGAGGTCCATGTCCCTGTGGGTCGAGTTCATCACGGCTTCCGGATACCTCTCGGCGAGGAAGATCCGCTCCAGGTTCCAGACGCTGGTCGCTCAGGCGTGCGACAAATGCGCGTACAGGGACTCCGTCAAGATGATCGCGGACACCACCGAGGTCAAGCTCAGGATTCGCGAGAGATACGTCGTGCAGATCACTCCCGCGTTCAAGTGCGCCGGCCTCTGGCCCAGGTCCGCGTCCCACTGGCCCATCCCTCACATCCCCTGGCCGCATCCCAACATCGTCGCCGAGGTGAAGGCCGAGGGGTTCGACATGCTGTCGAAGGAGTGCATCGGACTCCAGGGGAAGCAGTCCGCCATGGAGGGCGACGCCTGGGCCTTGTCCTTCATCGACGCCGAGAACCGCCTGCTCCAGGGCGCCAGCCGCAGGCGGTGTCTCAGCATCTTGAAGACCCTGAGGGACCGACACCTCGATCTCCCCGGAAACCCGGTCACCAGCTATCACGTCAAGACTCTGTTACTTTACGAGTGCGAGAAGCATCCTCACGAGGCCGAGTGGGACGAGACCTGTTTGGGGGATCGCATCAACGGCATCCTTCTGCAGCTCATTTCCTGCCTTCAGTGCCGAAGATGCCCGCACTATTTTCTACCCAGTTTGGATCTCTTCAAGGGAAAGTCCCCCAGTGGGCTGGAAAACGCCGCGAAACAAGTCTGGCGACTCACTCGCGAACTTCTCACCAACAGCCGGGCCTTGGAGAAGCTGTGATCCAGTTTATGGGCCGCGATCGCTGGCCGTTATCGCCCTCGTCGATTGAACCAGACATTTCGGTCTATATTGCGGATTCTCGGTGCGCTTCGTTTTTTTCCCCGGAACGTCCCTCGTCGATTTCGTCGCCGGTGCCGGACGGGAAGACGCCTCGTGGACGAACCTCGACCCTCGCGAGGAAGCTTTGGTCCCGATTCGACGTCGATTCCGTCGAATTCAGCGTTACTTTTAATTCCCCGACGCCAAGCTACGCTGTGTATTAATTGTTAATCGTACTTAATACCGCGAGAGAAGGTGGCCACTCGCGAGTGCGTTCGTTATTTCAATGGGTACTTGTCCTCGCCGGGGCAACCGGGCCAAGTTCTCTTTTGTAAGACTTCTCGTGTTCCCTCCTTTGTACATACTCCATGAAAATATTTATTAATGCTGTAACGTGACATGAGAAATACAAGTACTATTTATACGCAAGTGATCGCGGTGTCATGCGTCATCTCCTTGTCGCGCACTTCCCATACGCCGGCTCTCGTTTCCCATTGGATAAAAAGCCTCGCCGTATCTTGTTTCTTCGCGACATATTTTACCGAGAGAGGGGGAGCGGTCGTATAATAAATAATGCTCGTCCGGTGCGTCGCTAAGCCGGTTTGCAAACTATCCATTTTCTTGCGAAACGTTAGTCGTGACCGTCGAAATGGTACCGCGGTACTTTCAATTACGACGTACTTCGCGAATCCGGCACCAAGAATCGCGGGGGAGAACGAGACCGAAACTGTACTGTGTACTGTCACAGACTCGACGGCGAACGATTAACGGCACGGTTCTCGGATCGAATCTGGGGCAATTTACAACGTTAAACAAAGCGGCGTGCCACATCAAGACCTAGCTTCGTCCTTAAAAATCTCGCCGTTCCTCGGATAAGCGAATCAATTCGGAAAAAAAGTCTCGTCCTTCTCTCTTAACGCGTCCGATGACATTTTCGAGCGATTTCGAACCTTACGACGTGCAAAGGGTTAGAGCAAATTGCCTTCGAGGGCATTCAGCAATTTACTGCAAGTTTAGTTCTCGAGGAAAAAACGTTAATTGAAACGTTAAACCGTTTATACGGTGCCTCGAAACTATTATAGGCAACTCTTGGGGAATTATGAGATCGTAGGAAGTACCCGAGAGACAGATATCGGCTAACAAATTTTCCAGGAGGGAATCAATTTGCGACTCGCTTAAAAAGCAAACGGCTAACGAAGACCGCGTCGGTATTCAACGAGTATTAATTGCGCCGTCCGAGTAATAAACACTCCGTCTTTTTCGATCGGGCCCGCCCTAACGAAGAAATTCGTTCGATTAGCTTTCTTTACGTCGATCGTCCGTTTTCCCCGGCCACCGATTCATGCGATCGATTCGCCATCTCTTACGGCAAACGGGTGCCGGGTAATATCATTTTGCGCGAGTAAACTCCCGAGTCGAAAGAATCGGCGGCCGAATGGAAACTCATCTACGTAAATAATTACCGAGTTATAATAGACTTTACGTATCTCTTGTCCGCCCCTTCGCGGCGGCCCGCTCCTCGGCACGTCACGACATTCGTCGAGTCTCTTTATCACGGAACGAAGCAGCTCGTCGTAGAAGCCGCCATTTCGTTTTCTCCCTTTCACCCACCCACGCGATCGGTCCATTCGTTACCGCCCGACTAGACGGCTCGGTGTCAAGTGTTCCCGCCATGTTTTCACATTTTTTCGAGGCATTTTGTCGCCACGAAATCGCGATCTTTCCTCGTTTCGACGCGAAATAAAGCACCGCCCCGACGGAGCCTCCAGAAATAACGCGGTATCAGCCCCGACCATCTTACTCATCCGCATAAAATAAAATCCTGTCAAGAGGTACGCGTCACGTCGTCGCTTAACTTCCCTACGTTTCGGCCGGACTCTCGTCTCGTTTAGTATTCGCGACAGCTGCCCCGAAACGCTTCGGCATCGTCCCCGGATAGCTCGCAACGAATTGGCCCTACCCCGACCGTTTGAAATTACGTCCCACTTTTCTGCGACACCTCTCCCTTCCCTCCACGTACGCGGTCGAGCAATCTCCCGAACTCCCAGGACAGTGCCGCCTCGCGAGAACCTCGAGACCCATAAGACTCCTTTATCCGCGCATCGGCCGGCCTCTAATGGACATCGGGGTCGTTCCCAGTTTGGCGGCGCCATACGTTACCGGGAAACAAAGGAGGAATTCGCGAAAGCAAACATTGTAATTGGCGAGGGACGCTCGTCCGAGGCGTAGGCTGCGGCCGGTCGGGCCCCGTCGGGCCCCGTCGGGCCCCGCGCCTCCACCGCTCCCCTGGTCGCGGTTCCAGCTGGTCCGGGCCGGTCCCGCGCTATAAAACGCTCGGATAAAGCCGCGATGTTTATGCGGGGACCGCAGGGAGAGGAGTACCGACCGTGTAGTCGAAGAGATACCTGTGGTCCGGGCAAAATAATAAGACAAAAGCTGCCGACGCCGGGAGAGGGAAGATCTCGCCAAGATCCGGACCGGGAGGACCGAGGAGGCCCCGGGAAGAGGCCAACGTCGCTCGAATAAATTCTTGCCCTAATTGATTATTCTAATAAAATCCAACCCCTCGTCCTCTAATTGCATTATTCTTGGCCCGTCGCGTTTCGGTTAGTTATCGTATCCACGTCGTTTGGCGCTCCATCGACGTCGAAGAGAAGTCAAATAAAATTCAGCGATCGGGGGGCGTCCTCGCGGGGTGGACTCGCGATTAAACGGGGTCTAGGGGAGGAACGAGATCGCGTTTTGGGCAAAATTCGCCGGAGCCTCGGCGTCGAACGCGGAGGACTCGAAGTCCCGGGAAGAGAGACGTCCGGCAAAGTCGACGCCGATGGCGAGCTCGCGGACTCGGATTGTCCTTTTTGGGCCCAAACCGCCCGAGCCGCGGCGGTTCCGTTCGATCCCCGCTAAGGGCATGTCACGCTCGCGGTGTCTCTTCATTTTATTAGCCCATCCGAGGCCTCGTCGGGGCCCGACGGGGCCCGACGGGGCCCGACGGGGTCCGCGACAACCGGAGGGGCCCTGGTAACGCGATATCCCGTCTCGCCTTCGCCTCCCTTCCCCTCCGCAAGCCTCCGCCGCTAAATCGACTTCCGAATTTTTACCTCCGCTCCTTGGGAAGGACTTCGAGGATGCCGCGTTCCGACGTCTTCGAGAAGACCCGAAAAAAGTGTACGTTCGGGGCACCATGTGCCTCGATATACTTATCACCGTTATCCCTCAACGCTTACGGCCACTTAGGAGCGCGGCATTACCCTCGCAAGTGCCGGTACAGTTTTATGAGCGAAACCACTCAGGGTATTCGTTCCTTGCGGGGTCGCGGACGTCGATGTGAAACATTGATGAGATCGACGGAGCACTCGCGTAATGCAAACGCGTGCGTTCCCCGCGGCAAGAAATGCTCGGCCGAGCCGAGCGCGCAAGCGCTATCCCGGCATGGATCTTCGACGGGAGAGCTACCGTGCGGATGACAAATCCCCTAATTGCACCTTCCCCTTCTGGAAATCCACACCTACTCTTGGAACTCCTCGTTTGTCCCCGTCCACGCGACCGCAAATTAGCTGCGAGACTTTTCGTCCTCGGGGCCTGCGGAACCGCTCCAAGGACCAGTCCTAGAAGAGATACGACGCCGCCTTCGTCGGCAATTTTCCTATAAGTCACGGATAACCCTCGGGGGGTTCCGATCGCGGCGATCGCGTCTCTTTGATTTTTCCCGAGTTAACGCGCGACGCGGCAGAACGTTGCCCCGGGTGGACCGAAATCCTGGAGATGGGACATCCGGTGTTCTGGTTAACGTCCCGCTGGGATGTGCCGGGACATCGGGGGGTGAATGCCCCGTGTTTTTTGACCCACGCCCCGAAGGCGGCACTCCTTGTCTTCGCGTGGTTTAAGCTCTCGCTCGAAGGACCGATCGCGAGGCGAGACTCCCTCGAGATATATTCGAGCAAATGTGTCGAAATTCACGGGGCATAAATTAGACGCCGGTCGGATGTTTAGAGTGGGAAGGACGACGCCAGGCTTTTGGGTCGTTGGAGCCGACTTTGTGAGAAAAGTGGCGTTAAAATTAACACCGCAACCGGCCTCCTCTTTCTCGGACTCCCGCTTCGATCGCGGCTTTAACGACGATCTTTGTCAACGTCTCGTTCGGACCCCGGACTCCCGATTTTCCAAACATCTCTCGATGGTCTCGCCGGAGCTTGGTTCTTTGCCCTCGACGGATCGAGAGATGCCTCCACAAGATTCGTTTCGTTTCGAGGGGGAAAATAAGAGCAATTTCGGAGTGGAACGTTATAATGAAAAAAAAAGCGCGAATAATTATTTTAAACGAGAGCGGGGCGTTATTTCCGCGGGGACTGAAAAGTTATCAAAATTGATACAAACGACCGCCATCGAGCGGGCGTACTCGACTCGATAATATGTCTCGGAAGAAAAATTGTCGGCATTCAGGGGGAGCCAAAGTTCTCCCGGGAACGACGTGAATTTTTGAAGTAACGTGCAAAAAGAGTCAACGAAAACCATAAGTCTTTCGAGCGACCATCGATATTAATTTTCCGAAATGAAAACGTTACTCTTCCCGAGGATAACCCTTTCGCCCCTAACCGGAGGAGGCGGCGTCAAAACGAATCGTTGTCGTTTCGTCGACGTCTTCGGTAACGACGTTACCAGTCGGAAGGGAAGCGAACGGGTTAAGTGCGCAGGAAATTCGATTACTCTTCCCCGGGCGAGAATGTTGAATTGCAAAGTCAAAGAGACACCGTCGGTAGGTAGGTAAGGTACATCGGCAATTCTTGGGTCGACTTTTTTACGCGTTCCTGCCCCGTCTCCATTACGAATTGGGAGCGAAAAATTGGTGTTAAAAAATAGCAGGGAGTCGAAGTCGACGATGCAGCAATTTCATCGGAGCGTGCGAGGGAGGCGGCTTCGATCCAAATCCAAATTTGATTAGTTCCGGGCGGGGCGGGGGCAGCCGGTCCCTCTTAGCGGAGATTTATGTTCCGGCTCGCGAGGGCAGGCGCCAGGTTCGGAAAAGGGAAGGGAGGAGGAAACGGGAGTCGTCCGCCGATTCCCCTGGGATCGGGCACGCCGGTGGGAACCCGGGGGAGAAGGTGGGTCAGCGGAAGCCACCAAACACCGCGCTCTATTTCTGGGAGCCGGGTGGCGCAGCGGAGGGGCGCTGGATGGATGCATCCTTTTGCTTGAATTATCGCGCATCCCGCGCCCCCTCGGATCATTCCGAGTTTTCTATCGTTTTTCCAAGCCCTCTTTTCAGCCGCCCCCCCATTCGTCTCTTTCGTCTCTTTCGTCTTTTTCTCCCCCCCTTGGACGACTTCTTCCCGGTAGCTCGCTTTTCAAACTCGCTAAGTATACCGCTTGTTTTCTCTCGTATCTCCCCGAGCAAACGCCTGGAGTTATTTCATCCGATCGC